CATGCAAAAAAATACTTTAATAAAAAAGTACGCCACAGTCCAACAAGGCATTCGTCTCTGAAAAACTAATCATATTGATGGTTGAATAACTAGTGCACAATCGCGCGACTAATAGCTGAGATAGAGTGGGGGGGCATTTGAAATGAGACACGCAGTAGATCCGTTAATGTTGAATATTTCTTCATGAAACTTGGTACAGATCTATTTCAGTGGACGACGCTTCCAGTGGTGCACGCATTTAAAAAAAAACACTAATATGGATTCTGGATTTTTCAGCCTCAATTAGGCCTTGGTTTTTAAAAAAGTGGACGCCGCTTAGCTCCAAAATACACCTTTCCTCTACATTCAAAAAAAATTTCGCATAATCGCTCCGAAAATAAAAAAAATTATGAGGTTGGCCCACTTTCAAATGGGTCACTCTATATACATACAGAGAAGTGTACAAACAACGGCCAGGATTGTAACTTTTGAATTATTCTACATAGGGCTTTGAAAAATGGTAGGTAGCAAGTATACCAAATTGCTCATTAATTGATGAAACAATTTTTCTTCTATCACCTCCAGTTTCACCGGAAACGAACCCAACTTTTGATTTTCAAATAGGACACCCTGTATTGCATTACATAATCGGTAAGAAATTCAACGATACCGAGTTTGATAGGGTTATTTCGAACGATTTCAAATATATTTGCGTTCGAAGTTTCCATATGCTCAATGGGTGTGACTTGGCAATATCAAAACTTCTTTCTCTGTCACACTCATTGAGCATATGGAAACTTAGAACGCGAATATCTGCGTAATCGTTTGACATAACCCTATCAAACCCGGTATCGATGTGTTCGTTATGACAATCCCTAACCGATTATGGAATACAATACAGGGTGTCCCATTTGAAAATTGAAAGTTGGAGTCGTTTCCAGTAAAACCGGAAGTGATAGAACAAACATTGTTTCGTCAATTAATAAGCAATTTGGTATACTAGCTGCCCACCAATTTTCAAAACTCTATCTCGCATAATTCAAAAGTTAACAGTCCTGGCCGTTTTTTGTGCACTTCTCTCAATATATACAGTGCGTCGCAATTCTAATGGAAACACCCCTGTATTTTACGTAATCGTTGGGTAAGGATCCTGAAATTTCCTGGAGCGAGATATATACCAAAAATGTACTCTATGACCAAGTGGGGTCATCTTTAGTGATATACACTGCTCGCCAACAGCCATGGAACCATCACAATTTCCGGAAAATGATATTAGGAGGCAAAATAGGTTGAAAATCACTTCGGATTCGGAATCAGGACGCCCAATTCACTCACTATTCAAAGTTCTTGAATTCTGATTGGAAACTATCAATACTCACCAAATAATCATGAGTGGAAGGAAATGAAAATGCAGTATATAATCATCAACAACTTCAATACTTTCCAATGTATATATCAAATACAATACAAAACATAATGTATGGTAACATTCCATTAGTATCAAATAATTCAACAGCCGATAATACTATGTCTTTTATTGAATTATGAATTATTTAGGGAAACATAAGTAATTATTCTTCAATTTTATGAAGACATTTTTGAACGAATCAATTTTATTTTGTTAGTAGAATATTTGTTGTGTGAATTTTCCTAACAGTTATTATGCGATGATTAATGATGAATAATACAATACAAATATGGACATAACTTGAAAACTTTAAAATTAATTGTCATTTCTACTCAACACCAATCCCAACAAGTAAGTATGGAAAATTGTCGGAAAAGAAATATTTTAAATGGCCATAAACAGGGTATCCCACTCATGAAAGGTCATATACAATGTGTCCAAGATAATTCACTTTAAATAACGTCAGAAAAAAATAAAAACGAAATCGGCAAAAATCGGATATTTAGGCTATAGTATCTACGGAACTATTAGGCATTTTGAAACGTTTTGAACGGCATATTGTTTAGCTTGAAAATGCGCAACTTTTCTCTGATTTAACCATCTTAGTATCTCTCATGGTTTCTGAGATCCTCATGATAGAGATCCTTATCTTGGACATACTGTATAGGTCATGAAAAAATCGTTATAAACATAATATAATAAAAAGTTCAATAGAAAATACGAATGTGAATTATTTTTATTTGAATATATTATATCCTCAAGATTTGATAAACTTTCCAATTACTTTTAATAAACATGCTTCATTTGCAGCAAGAGTCGCCAGTATGTTCAATAGGTAACATTCAATAGGTAAGTATGATACAGTATGATGTTAAAGTATGTTGTTTCATGTATAGAGTGCAATGTATAATAAGTGAATACAAATGTTTCAATTCACCCATTTTCTGATAAGAATGAACGAATATTCAAGATGTAAACAACAATACTATATACAGGGTGACATATAAAAAAGGACATTGCATAGTGCCATACAATAGAGGACACTAGAATAAGAAAAAAAGTTCCCATGAACACGGGCTTGCAAGTCCTTCGGTTGAAAGATACGGGGTGTTGAATTTTTTTTATTTATTTGATCATATTTAGTATGATAAAAAATCCCTGTATACCACCTTTTATTCGTTTTTTGCGTTTCTGGCTGAAGATATTGAAAAACAAAATTCAACACACCGTATCTTTTAATAACCGAAGGCCTTGCGGACCCCTGCTCATGGGAAATGTCTTCTTAGTATAGTGTCCTTTATTGTGTGGCACCATGCAATGTACTTTTTTCTATGTCACCCTGTATATATGACTTGAAATTGGTGGCAAATGGATAGAAACAGTGAAGATTTTCAATTTTGAATAGTAATGCTGACATTTTGTCAACATCACAGAAATTATTTTTCATTATCATTCGATACAGCAGCTTTCTGACTAGTAGTTTGCAGGTTTTCAGTTTAAAATCGTTTCACATAATATTGATCAGAGTATAAGGCGCATCAATCTTAGATTTAGGATATTCGATCCCAAAATAATTTCTCAAGCAGGGGCTTATTAGGACAAGGTCACGAAATAATATCAGCGTCCTATTCAATCCACTTTTTTCATCCTTAGTGTTCCAATCCGTAGATGTTTCTAGTCGCCTCAAAATGTGGGGCGGATCGGAAAACTCCTCATAATTTTTCAAAAATCAATTTCACATCTTGATAAGGCAAATGTGTACTTAAAACCTTCGAATCTTCATTGTACGGACGAAATTCTAACCGATTTTTTGACGGAGCTAGTTAACAAAATAACAAATTCACAAACAAAAATATACTATGGTACACAAGCTTCAATTTTTAGTGTGGGACACCCTGTTAAATAAATTCGAACTGAGCATAATAACTTCCGAATATTCTATCAATTTATCAACATAATTAAGTTTCTAGCTTTGACTAACCTATTTTGCTTCACTAGAATAGATCTATTTTAATAAATTTCTGCACAATGATATATTTCGAAAGATTTTAACAATGTGAAAATAATTATCATTTTTCAGCAATCGGCTCAAAAGTAATCTATTTTTGTTCCAAAATTAGCTCTTGAAGTTGACGTTTCTCTTACTGACACAATAAAATTATTAGTATGTACAGTGTGGCCCACTTCTAATGAAAACACCCCTGTATCTTATGTAATCGTTGGGTAAGGATCCTGAAATTTGATGGAGCGAGAGATATACCAAGGGGGGTAAGTGATATACACTGCTCGCCAACAGTCATGGAACCACCTCAATTTCCGGAAAATGATATTAGGAGTCAAAATAGGTTGAAAATCACTTCGAATCCGGAATCAAGACGCCAGTAGGTATCTCACGTAATTATTGAGGTAGGGTTCTGAAATTTCCAAGAGGAAGGGAAAGTCCAAAGATAAAGTCAATTACGTGAAAAGTGCGACAAAATTTAATTTTTCAGAACTGAAAATTTTTCAGGAAAAATATGAACAGTTAGTGAATTGGGCGTCCTGATTCAGAATCTGAAGTGATTTTCGACCTATTTTGACTCCTATCATTTTCCGGATATTGCGGTGGTTCCATGGCTGTTGCCGAGCAGTGTATATCACTGAAGAGGAACCCACTTGGTCATAGAGTGCATTTTTGGTATATCTCTCGCTCCAGCCAATTTCAGGATCCTTACCCAACGAATACGTAAGATACAGGGGTGTTTCCATTGAAAGTGGGTCACAGTGTATGTTGCTAGGCAACACTTTTCGTGTCTAGGAGCTAAAGTTGAAATTTAACTCCTGAGAACTAAAAAAGTACCGGATGACAGTTGATATGATAGCTGCGTTGACACGATTGCGGAAAAAATAGCATGTTTCATTCGGAACAAAAGTGACTCTGACTCGCAAACACAAATATCGTTTGTCAAACAAAGTGTCACATTTTATCCTAATAAAACAAAGTACTATTGATATACTTGTATGGAAGACTGGAACCTTCTTGGCACGATGTTGTTTCACCACTAATCAAACCGATGTTTTAACGCCTCGACATGTGTTTCGCTTATTATGGTCATGTTTAATTTTGATCCTCTCCTGAAGATGCTGACATATTTAGCAAAACACGTGTCGAGGCGTTGAAACATCGGTTTGGCTAGTGATAAAAAAAGGTAGTGTGATTCATTATACTGATAAAATCGGATAAAATAGTTTAAAATGACTAGATTTCAATATCAAAAAACTATCTTTATATGAAAATAAACCAAAAGGAACCGACATTGGAACCTTTTGGACTTTTCTTATAATATTTAACCTGTTTCTTTGAAAAGCATTATAATATATCTTCTAAAACTGACCTATTTACAAAAACTTTAACAAATAATTTTAATCCATTGAATTGGCTGCTAAATCTGCTCTGGATTGAAATGGAATTCAATAGAGAAAACTACCAAATAAAAATATCGACTACGCTATTTGAGCAATGAAAAATGATAGCACATGATTAAACACATATTTTCCTGGCTTGTATTTAGTTGAAAAATTTTTGTCATTATTGCTATTGCTATTATGGCCTCTGTATTTTGCTGTTTCCAACTTATTCTTTTTTAGGGTGTTTATATACATAAGCTGCTATCATCACAGAACTACTCAAAATAGTATTGATGCTGAAATTTAACAACAGAGTTAAATCCATGGATTCCACGCAAATAGTGAATACTCTAGCTGCAAAAAAACAATAGCAAATCAGAAATTTTCCTATTTCAGATGACTGAGCAGTTATGATGATGGCATGAATGTGATTAGGATTAGGATAATGAAACATGATATCCAATACCTTCACTGAGAATATTAAACTCTATCAAGATCAAAGACTGATAAATCGTCATGTGTATGTATTCACAATTACTAAAATTATTATTCATCTTTGTTTTCTATTTATCGAATAGCCAATATTGTAATTCCTATGCACCATATGATTCACTTCAAATGCCCCCTCTTTATCTCAGTGATGTTAGTCATGTCATGAGATACCAACAAAAAAATGTACTGGTATGATAAACCATCCATAGGATCATTATTTCAGAGACGATCATCATTTTAGACAGTGTTGTATGTTTTTATTGAAGCAAATAGAGATCTTTCGCTAAATAATAGGACATGTTTTAGATGTGAACGTAAACAATTATTATTTTCTATCGATTGTTCAAAATTTTACAATTCATTATTTCTCGGGAAACAATAAATTTTATGAAAATGTAAGCCATGAGGTGAAATTATGGCTATGGAAGAAACAATACTGTGAGGTTACTTTATCCTCAGAAAAATGATTACTTATATGGTTTTGCGAAAAATCGACACTTTTAATTCATAAAAACACTCTCATTAGGAAGCAGACATATCCACACAGTACATTATGTTTCATCTAAGTTTTCAATAACTCACTTAGCTGAATTTCCAGAGTTTATCACTGTGTTTATCAGGAAGCAAGCACTATAATAACATAAACATAGTGGAAAAAAAAGTCGTCGATGACACCACAAATCGATTCGATTTCTGTGGAAAAATATCGGCTTACTCGATTACATAGGCTCAGTGCCAGGGATTTCCGGCAACATGAAAGTTGGCAGTTATTTTTATGTGTCCTTCTAGTCCTTATCTACAATTTTGTTAATGGCTTCTTTGTCCGGGGCGAAAAGGCAGTTAACGTGTTTTTGCTCCCACTGTACCCAGGCAACCAGATGACGTTCCAGTGACGTCTTTTTTACGTCACTTGAATGACCAAGGTGACGTCAGTAGTTGACGTCGCATGACGTGATAATGACGTGAATAAGTCACAGCCCAATGACGTCATATTACTGACGTCGTATTGACGTCATTCACTCACCAATCTGTGACGTCCGACTGACGTCATAATGACGTCAAAGTGATGATTAAATCTGGCGATGATACGTGAAAAAGATTCCTTTAACATGGTGTGATAAACACCACTGGCCTCTGATGACATTATATAATATTGAATATGCATTGATGAGTCTGCTTGGTGGGTCCCTCCTGTGTCATGGTCATTCAATCGCCTATTCAGCAGCGCTATCCTTCAGGCCTTCAGGTCCGCATCTCCATCAGAATGCAATCGTATTTGTATAAAAAATTATGTAGTTTGTGTCGGCGAGATGTAAGCAAACAAAGCATAGTTTGATAGCAATGGAAAGGATGGTATATCAATAATTCCAATAAAACTTGCATGTTGATTTGCTTTCATGAGTTATACTTCTGTTTCACATGATAATATAGGTATAAGTATCCATGATTCCAAATTTTTTGGGATTTTCTCTCCTCGTTTCTATAAAATAAAAATATGAATATTATTTCAATATACGTGTAGTAAGGACAAATCAGATGATTTGTCCTTACTACACGTATATTGAAATAATATTCATATTTTTATTTTATAGAAACGAGGAGAGAAAATCCCAAAAAATTTGGAATAATGAATATACCACCTCCTCGATTAACCTACAGACAGTATAAGTATCCATGGTTCAGAGAAGGTCTGGGAAAAATGGACGTCGACAGGACGTCCCTGCAACCACATGAAACTGACGTCTTCTTTCACCCATCTAAGTAACGTTCACTCGACGTCGAAACGTGATTACTACGTCATAGAAAGTACGTCATAGTGACGTCATAAATTGGTGTGTGACTTCTCTGACGAAAAATCACCAATTAGGGACGTCACGTGACGTGATCATGCGTCATCTGGTTGCCTGGGTAGCGCCACTGTGCCATGGGTTATGGCAGATCGTAAGCTGCACAGGTTTTCTAGTCGTACTCATTGAAATGCATATCTAGTGATTTTTTTATGGGTCCGGGAGAAAAAGGTAGATATTGAAAAGAACACGCCTGATGGTTTTTAATTGATAATAAATACTTTCGGCAAGATTTGCTCCGGCACAGTTCCCGTTTTGTAGATATGTTTTCATGACCAACCCTGTAGAAAACTTAAGTATCGTTTGGGGGTCAAGGTATATAAACCGACCCGGTTCTTGGACTATTAGTCCAACATCATTTGATTGTCATAAATTGTGAATTCTTCATACTGAGAAATACACTTTCTATCATAGCCACAAGTCCAAAACAAATTGAAACTTGACTTGCTTAATGTTATTTTGATTCTACCAAGTGGTTTACTTGATTATATACCACCCGAGAAACGAGCCATCTAACCATCTTTATTTTTTCTGCCATAATCCAGGAACTAATATTCATCAATTTATAATATCTGGATGAAAAAGTGCAAATTAATTCAATAAAAAATTGCTTCTATTGGTTACCACCAAACAATATAAAAGTGTTGGAAAAAATGTTCAGATGATATTCAAGCCGAGATTCATGCCATGATTTGTATGTTTGTACTTACTGAAGTTGGTAAATGCTGAAATGAACCATGTCAGGACACTCACTGATTCAGAGTTCTTTGTTTTTATTAATTCTGCTAATTGAACAACTTTCGATGATGCACCAATGGGCGTACAAAGAGGCTGAAATGATTTTTGAAAATTATAATATGAGATCTCATGGGACATATAATATACAGGGTGTACCTAAAATGTCTGTATAAAATCTTGGCACATAGTCTTGAGGTCAAAATAAGCCGTTCAAAACAACCTACCTCAGTCTGAAATTGCTCCGTTTCTGAGATACAGGGTGGTGAAGTAAAAAAATAAAAGTGTGACACATACACTCCAAAAAAGTATTTTGGAAAATCCATTTAGAACAGCTAACATTTTTTATTGAAAATAATTTGAATATTCCGGTGCGGCATTGTATGTACAGGGTGATTCGTCATAAATGCCCCCCCCCCCTCTAACTCAGTTATTTTTGAACCGATTGCAAAATTTTAAATATCATCTAAAATGATTTTCGATAGTTTTTTTCCGCTACATCAGAAAATACAAGGTGCTCGGAACAAACGATCTACAGGGTACTATTTGATTTTTTTAAATGGAACACCCTATTTTTCATTGTATTTTTAGATTCTCCCTGAAGAGCTGATTTCATCAATGTACAGAGAGATTTTTCAACTCAAGGATTTTTCTTTGTCGAAACTATTCATTATCGGTCAAAATAGCTTTCATGTCCGTATCTCAACTTCTCATCTACTATCTACTGACATTTGATAATTGGAACAGATACAGGGTGATCAGAATTCTGAATCTTGAACCACACTGTATATGTTCCAATTAAATGAATCTTGAACCACACTGTATATGTTCCAATTAAATGACAGTAGATAGCGAATCAAAAGTGGGGATAGGGACATTAAAGCCGTTTTGACCAATAATGAATAGTTTTGACACAAAAAAATCCTTGAGTTGAAAAATCTCGATTATGAACACCCTGTATCTCTGTAATCATTCTTGATAGACCCTAAGTGTGATGCATTGATGAAATCAGCTCTTCAGGGAGAATCTAAAAATACAATGAAATACAGGGTGTTCCATTCAAAAAAATCAAGTAGTATTCTGTAGATCATTTGTTCCGAGCACCCTGTATTTTCTGATGCAACGGGAAAAAATTTCTGAAAAATCATTTTAGATGATTTTTCAAATTTTCAAATCGGTTTGAAAATAAGTGAGTTAGAGGGGGGGACATTTATGGTGAATCATCACATATTAAAAACCGAAATATCCGGAAAATGACTTACTTTTGCGGGTTTCCACAGGAGTACCTTTTTCACTTAAAAAAAATCAGAAAATGATATCCTTCGCAATAAAAGTAAAATACTACACTGAGAGTGGCGCCCATTCTGAACGAAAAAAATTAGAAGTGCATTGGTAAACAGCCTCTAATGGCCACAGTGAGAAGGTGTCTGTATTCGGAATTTGCATTTAAAAAACCAGGCTGCCAAGTTTCAAATTAGTTAAAATTTTAATTTAATTTCTCGGACAGTGGTAAGTTGCTTTGAATTTGCTTATTTTTTTATTATTTTGTAATAGACCTTTTAGGGACACCATTACAGCATTACATAAATAATCATTATCATTCAAATAAAACAAAGGATGATAATGATATTGAATTTTCATGCCATTTTGGTACAAAAGTGGGTACCATTTTTTTATTATTGAAGAAAACAAAATTTGTGGGTTGTGTATTATAGTTCAATTCTCCTTTTTTTATATACTCACATGCTTTGCCGTGCTTCCGGTTTGACCGAAAATGACCCATGTTATTTGTCGTCACTTTCAAGTCAAAGATCGCCAATAAAACTATACTTTTCGTCTTTTTTCCGTTTTAATGACTTTTATTCAAAATTATTATTCTGACGTATATCTCTTTTTTTTTTAATCAACAACATAATATAGAGTATCAGATTATCAGATTAATTGAACAAACATAACTATAGATACTGAAGTATCAACATCCTCCCCCATGCTAGGCAAATTCGTTTTGCTCTAGATCTAGTCTGCATATCTTCGTTACTGGTCGTCGATACTCAGCCTTCGAAGTTTTTACATCTACCACACGTACTCTTCCGTCGGGCCCTGGGTAGACAGCAGTAATCCTTCCTAATTTCCAGGTGTACCTTGGTATTTCGTGGTCGACCAGTATGACAACATCGTTTATTTGAATTGGTTGTTGTTCTTTCGTCCATTTAGTTCTTTTCGATAACGTAGGCAAATACTCTTTCACCCAACGTTTCCAAAAATTGTCCAATAACATTTGGGACTTCTTCCACTCTCGACGTAGACAATCGGAATCGGGATCGAGTCGAATGAGAGAGCTATTTCCACTTGATGATCCGAGTAGGAAGTGGTTCGGTGTAAGTGCTTCAAAATCTTCTGGATCACTCGATACTCGCGTCAGGGGTCTGGAATTCACAATATGTTCCGCTTCGGCGAAAAAGGTCTGGAGAGTTTCTTCTCGAATAGATTGATAGTGTAAGTTTTTACCAATAATTTTCTTCACTATTCCAATCAATCTTTCCCACACTCCTCCCATGTTTGGAGCACCCGGTGCATTGAATCTGAATTCGATTCCTCTGAGACATTTCATCTATGACAGCTGATTTATTCATGCCTTGTTGAAGTGCTCTTGTTATTTCCTTGTTTGCAGCAACAAAATTTGTTCCGTTATCACAGTAAATGACTCTTGGCTGTCCTCTTCTTGCGACCATCCGCAATATGGCCATTACAGCTGACTCACTGTTCAGGCTGTGAGCAATTTCTAGGTGTATCGCCCTTACAGATAGACAAGTAAAAAGGACACCCCATCTTTTCTCCCTTCGTCTTCCAATTTTGATATTGATCGGCCCAAAATAATCCATGCCTACATTAACAAACGCTCTAACTTCTCGGCTTAGTCTTTCTACAGGTAATTGCCCCATCAGTGGTGGAACTGGCTTCGCTCTTTCATTTTTGCATTTCAGACATCTGGAAGAAACTGATTTAACTGCCGCTCTGCCATTGATCACCCAATATTTCTGTCTGACCTCATTCAGCACGAGCTCAATACCTCTATGTCGATATCTTTCATGGTAATGTCTGATGAGCAATTTGGTGAATTCGTGTTTCGGGTCTAGAATTATAGGAAGCTTGGTACTGTCGCTAAGGGTGTTTGCTAAATTCGTTCTTCCTTGAAGCACAAGAATTCCATCATCGTTCAATCCAGGACATAAACTAATGAGTCTGCTACTTTTTTCAATATCTTTTCCATTTTTCAAATATTTAAGCTCTTCTCGAAAACTCTCAAGCTGGCATTGTTTGATCCAAATTCTCTCGGAGTCCTCAAGTTCTTCTACTGAAAGCTCTTGCTGGAAATTTTGTCTATCATGGTTACGTCTAATTTTCTTCAGGAATCGTTGGCACCAGGCTGTACACCTAATGAGTCTCCAGTATTTAGAAAATCTATTGATATCGGGAAGAGGCATTTTCTGTTCTGAGATCACTAAGCAAATATAAGAGCTAGTATACTCAGTCTTCAACTCAGTCTCATCTAGATCCTTCGACTCTCTATTAGTATCTTCTCTAGGCCACAGTTCTTCTGGTTTTCTTAAAAAAGCAGGTCCATAGATCCAAACGTCTGAGATTATTTTATTTTTCAAATCATAATTGGACCTGGTTGCTTCGTCAGCGGGATTTTTGTCGGTGGGAATCCATCTCCAGTCTTCAATGTTGGTTCTTTCTTGAACTTCTCCTATTCTGTGCGAGACAAATTGTTTATACTGTCTTCCATCACCTCTAATCCAATCGAGGACACATTTAGAATCTGACCAGAAGAATAACCGATGAATAGTTATTTCCAGTTCAGTCTTTATGGATTGAGCCAATCTACTCGCCATCACAGCTCCTTGAAGTTCCAATCTTGGTATGGACAGTGGCTTCAGCGGTGCAACTCGTGCCTTGGATGACACCAGCGAAACATCTACTTCTTCAGCTCCTCTAACCACTCGAAGAAAGGAAACTGCTGCGAAGGCTTTCTCGCTGCTGTCGCAAAAGGTGTGAAGTTCAATTCTCGTCGCTGTCGGTATTTTCACGCTGTAACATCGTGGTATTCTGATGGTAGTCATTTTTGAAAGATTTTCCATCCATTTCTTCCAAGATTTCATTTGATTCTCTTTCAATTCTTCGTCCCAGTCGATTCCAGTCCGCCAAATTTCTTGCATCAGGATTCTGGCTTTGATGGTGAAACTAGCTATCAAACCCAAAGGATCATACAGGGACATGACAATTTTGAGGATTATTCTTTTGGTGATTCTCGTGTTGGAAAAATCTCCGATGTTTATCTTGAACTGAAATTCATCATTTTTTGTGTCCCACCACAAGCCGAGTACTCTATGAACGGAGGAATCGTCAATTTGTTTCACAGCAGATGAATTATCTAGTTCCTTTGCTTGATTTGCTTGAGAATTCATCATCCAATTCACGACTTCAAATCCTGCAGACTTCATAATGTTGCAAATTGCAGTGATGGTTTCATTTGCTTCGTCTTCAGTATCTTTGGAATCTAGATAATCATCTACATAGAATTTTTTTATGATTGCATCCTTCAGGTAAAGATCTGGTACATTTTTCTCGGCGTGGTAGTTTTTAACAAACTGGGCACATACAGGGGAGCAAGTGGCACCAAATGTTAACACCATCATTTCATAAACATCTGGGTCTCTGTCCAGTTCAAGGTTTCGCCAAAAGAACCGTTGGGCTTTTCTATCTTCTTCACGAATTCTGACCTGGTGAAACATCTCCCTCACGTCTCCGCAGAATCCGAACTTGCGTTGTCTGAATTTCCAAAGAATAGCAACAATGGACTGTAGTAGATCTGGACCAGCTAGAAGTGCGTCATTCAAACTCATGCCATTTGACTTCGCAGCGGCATCAAAAACCAAACGCATCTTCTTTTTATTAGGATTAAAAACTGAGAAATGAGGAAGATACCACGTTCGCGGACATTCATCATCAGCTTCTTCTGGACTCAGTTTTCTTATGTATTTCTTCTCTTCGTACATACGTATTCTCTGGCAGTATTCTTTTCCCAAGTCAGCATCTCTCCTACATTTTCTTTCGGTACAGTATAATCTCTGCAAGGCTCGAAATTTGCTCTCAGGTAATCTTGTGTCGTCTGCCTTCCATAATAGACCAATCTCATATCTAGCATCACTTTTCTTGATGGTTTCTTCCATGATCTTCATCGCTCTAGTGTTTTCTAGACTTAGGCGGTCTTTTGTGACTAGCACACCGAAGTTTTCAGTGGAAAATGATTTCCTCATCATCTCTTCTAAATTATCGTCGGTATTTTCTTTTTCGCAGATATGCATTGTGCGATGTGGCTTGAAAATCTCTTCATTTGTCTTAAATCGTTGGCTTGGACCGTGAATCGCCCACCCTAACTTGCATTTACTGGCGATTGGACAATTTTCTGGACCACACCGTATCTGCCGAGCAACTATAATGTCGATATTATCTTGACCAATAAGAAGAACTGGTTTTTCGTTGATGATGTCCCTGATTGGTAGATTTCGTAAATGTGAGAACATATGCCACTCTGTCATCTTGACGGTTTGAATTGGCAGTGACAAATTGTTAACTGTCCGGATTCCTTTCAAGGTGAATGATTTGTTTCCATCAGTAGCTTTCGAAATTTTCACATCGGTCTTCATTGAATCTACCTGTATTGAAGTAGTCTCGTTAGTCCACTGCAAACACAAAGCTTCTTTGTTGCCAGTCAGTTCGAGTTTACGCGCAACTTCCTCGTCTAGCAATGTGACTGTTGAGGCTTCGTCGCATAGGGCTAGTATCTGGAATGATTTTCTTGGGCCATGCAGAGTAACTGGGATGACTCTCAACAGCACTTTCTTCAAATCGGTACGTACTGTGCATACTCTTTCTGATGAACATGATTCAGCATTGGTATCGAGATATGGTTTATGCAGTAGCTGGTGATGATATAACTTGCAGTTATTGATTCCACACTGTTTTCTTGCTCTGCATTTGAATTTCTGATGGTTTTTCTTCAAACATGAGAAACAGAGTCGTTTTTCAGTTACAGTTGACCATCTTTTCTCAATGTCATCATTCTTCATCGTCGGGCAGTCATCATCATGAGCTTTCTGGTCACAATAACAGCATCTTTTGTCAGTACCTCTTTCGTTGATGTTGAATACCCTTTCTGGCTTTCTTGATTCTGATTTTGTTCCAAATTTTTCTGACGTGGCGTTGAATGGGGTGCTTACATAACATGCAGCCCTGGCGATTTCACCCACCCATTTGGAAAAATCATTCAAATCAAGATTTCCTTCATAGTCGGTCATTCGTTCTCCCCATTTGAGCTTTAGGTGATCCGGTAGTTTTCTCACAAGGTCCTTCAGTAACTGAGGGTTCTGCAGATGTTTTTCAGAGTTGAGAGTTTTTATTATGGACACCATGTTGTTGACCTCGCTTGAAAACTGAATCAATCTCTCGAAGTTGGAATCTCTCAGGAACGGTAGATTTCTAATTCTTGAAATGAGTCCATCTATGACAAACTCCGGTCGTCCAAAGCGCATTTTCAATGTCTGCATCACCAAATCAACGTTGTCTGCTGTTAACATCATTCCAGCTACCGCTGATTTAGCTTCTCCTTTCAAACATTTCTGGAGTTTCAACATAATCTCTTCGTTAGAAAAATCACATAAACTACAAATATTTTCATATTGTTTGTAGAAAAGAGGCCATTCCTGGGGGTTTCCATCATAGTGAGGAAAGTCCTTCTCTAAAATATTTCTTGCTAAATTCCTGCTTTGATTATACGGCGTAGGATTTGAAACAGATTTTATTGCATCAGAGATCGTTTCACAAAGAAGCTTCAAATCATTTCCTACTTCTTTCTTCTCAGGAATTTGCTCTGGTTCCTGTATATTGTTCACCCAATCAGCTACAGACTGCTGCCTTTCATTGTCTTGAATCGGTAGGATGGGCAATAAACCTACGTTCTGTTCTGAGCAGCTTTCTAATTCCTCCTGGGCTTCTAGTTGGGCTTCTTGTAAGACATGTTCTAGCTCAAGAAGTCGAATATCATCTTCAATATCTTTTTCTTCCAACATAATCAGTCGTTGTCGTCTCTCCAACTCTTGTCTCTTCTTTTCTTTCTCGAGAACTAGTCATTTCTTTTCCAAACTCAGTTGTGAGTGCGCACTTGATGTTTTCCTTGTTCTGGGTTTGGAATGCACTGAACTCGTTTCATGTAGAGTAGGACTGACCTTTTTAGATCCGAACTTATCAGGCCAAACGAAATCTGTTGGAAGGTTCTCATTTATCCCTGCACCTATTCGTCTGGGCTTGTCTGATGCTGGAGGGATACGAGAACTCGCTGCCGCTTCTTTATCCATATCGTGGACTAGTCGGGGTCACCAATGTTATTTGTCGTCACTTTCAAGTCAAAGATCGCCAATAAAACTATACTTTTCGTCTTTTTTCCGTTTTAATGACTTTTATTCAAAATTATTATTCTGACGTATATCTCTTTTTTTTTTAATCAACAACATAATATAGAGTATCAGATTATCAGATTAATTGAACAAACATAACTATAGATACTGAAGTATCAACAACCCTGACTTCCGATTTTTAAATGGGACATCCTATATATTTTTAATTATTTCAATCAAGAATGACATTCAAATTATTTATTATATCTGTTGAACACCATTAGTCCGTCAGGACAGAATTATGAGAAGATATTCAGAACAGAGTGGTATTTTGCTAGACTATTTCACGTTCATGAAGCATGAAGAGCATTGATTATAAATGAGTGATTCTATTTTATGACAAACACAAACACTGATAGACCATTCACAATTGAAAGACAGCTAATGTTTTTACCAAAGTAGCATTTAGTGCACTGGATTTAGTACACAGTACCCAAGATAAGGAGGGCTAGTATGGGCACCTCAGAACCTATGAGGCATATGGATTTGGTTAAATGGGAGAAATGTTGCAGGAGTGAAGGACCAACAAAATTACTTCCAATAATATTTGATGACTTTTCATTTATTCCTCATTTCCGATCAAACTAGAGTATAGAAAAGGTAGTATATGTCAAAAAATTTGAATTGAACTATAATACAGCACCCCCAAATTTAGTTTTTTTATATTCAATAATGAAAAAATTTTAGGGGTAAGCCCACAGAACTCAAGGTCTTTGAGTTCTGTGGGTTAGACACTGTGAGCAAAAATAAAGCAAGTTGAAATTGTGATAAAATTTTTAATAGGGCAAACTAGGGTCCCTTGATGTAAATTGAGGTATTTGTTATCTCCAGATGACAAAAATGTAAATTTACATCAAGGGACCCTAGGACAAACTACCTATTCAATTATTCTATTGAAGTTTACAATATTGGGATCAATGTTGTAATCATTTGAATAGATGATTCTTGACCTTAAATTGAGTCTGAAATGCTTGAGCAGCTCAGCTAGCATTGAGAGAAAAAAATGTCTTCCCCATGTCCTTGTCTTCAGTGTTCCAATGTAAAATCTCAATATAAAACAGGTTTGAATGGTCTACTTCTCCATTTCTTCCCATTTCCAGTGCTACCAACATAAAATTCTCATTATTTTATGTTGGAACACTGGATACAAGAACAGATGGGAGGGGGGAAGACATTTTTTTCTCTCAATAGTCAATAGTCTCAATATGCTTATTAATGGTATTTTAGCTGAACAGTTCTTGTTCTCTTGTTCTATAGAATGAAGATGAGTACATATACCTACTTATACATACATAATAGGTACTTTAACAAGTTGTTCTATTGACCAAGCTCTTGACTTTTCTGGCAAAAGGTGTAAAAATTCCACACTACTTGAGAGTTGAGATAAATGCTCACACCAACATACTTTATAGAACTTCAAAGACTTCAAAGAGGCAGTGATAAACTATATTACTTACCACTAAAAATGCTAAAAGCCCCAAGGGTACAATTCCAGTCAAAAATGCTGTGGCTATTGAAAAATAAACTCCAGCTCCAATAAAGCTCTTTAAGTGTATCATGTTCTTATAGTGAAGAACACAACCAATCAAGATAAGTTCTTGTATGAGTATTATTGGATATTCTAGGTAACTCAAAATAGCATAACCACTTCTATAGTTATAGGACATCATAATGGAATAGCTGAAATAAAATGCATGAACATGTTATTAGTTGTCTGAAACATTCAGGCTGTTATTCCTATAAAGGTATATAAGGAGGTATATTTCTCTAATTGTTTCATATTCAAATTATAGTAGGTGCCAAATGAACAAAAAATAAACTGATGAAAAATTTAGGTTCGTACCTCGAAAGTTCCATTAATAATGCCAATATGTTCAATCCTTTAGCACTTTTAACTTTCAGAATAGTTACAATTTGAGGAACTTTCAAAATGAAACATATTGATATGGTAATTATACTCAGAATATTCGAAATAACCTGTAAGATATTGTTATCATTCAAAGAGATCATTATTCACAGATATTTGAGCGACAAAAATCAGGACGGATAAATAGTACGGTGTTATTAACCTAAAAAAAGGCCTAACCTTGACATCCAAAGTAAAAGTTTTAATCCAACTCCAAATTGTTCTATATAACCCTCTTATTGTTTGGTAAAAAGTTACACCATTTTGAGCGTCGGGTTTGGGGGGAGAGGGGGGGGGATTTGAAAAATCACTAGTTTTTTTAGTTTTTCGTGAATATTGAAAAACTAAGCGGTTTATCCTAAACATTGTTATATACGAAAATGTTCTACGTTAAATTTTAAATGAGAATGGTCCTTTTCATAATCACTCTAAATTGTACGGTTCAAGAGTTACAGACGGTGTAAATGTTAACTTTTTCGTAATTTTGATAATTTTTTTAAAAAATAAGCTTCGTAAAAGAATATTGCTATTTCAGTGGCCGGTGGTATGTTAGTGATAAGCCCTTGAAGGAACGACAACCTCACCACCTTATCAAGGGGCTTTTTTTTAAGGGAAAAGAGGCTTCCACAGGCCTAGGCCATATAAACCTGTGGTACGGAGAAACCCACCCTGAACTTTCTACGAATATTGCAACATAAATTCACTTCTTAAGCATAAATATCTTTCAAACTTCACTCATCCTCCAGCACATTATCCTCCTCCTCTAGCTCGTCGTCTAAGATGTTATTATTGTCCATGTTATCACCTGCTTGGCCTGAGCAATTGCTGCATATGCTAGTGCTGTTTAGACCACTCCTTCTGCATTCACAATTACGAACGCATTCATCTTTGCAAGTACACATTATAAGGGACAGTAATTCCTGGGGGCTGCAGGACGTGCTGTTGTAATTGGTGTCAGGTGGTCGCCAATCTTCTTCCAACCCCACTCGAGTGGATCCTTATCTTCATTCAGCCACTGTTGTACCTGGTGGTAGGTCCTAAATGAGTGCTGTCTGGACGCTCCTGAAGTGGGGGGTAGTGCATCCAACTTCAGTAATGCATGTATAGGCTGCTTTGCAATCGCTTTCAAGTAGGACTGGTAGCGGAGACAATCTAGATCTCCAGTGTTCTTGGCTCCAAACATTGCAAGTAGGAAGTAATTTCCTGCATCAGCCACTGCACTGGGGTCGGCTTTGGGGTTGTTGAAGACCAGAAGTTTTTCACGAAGAACGTTGTTGGCTTGAACTTTCCTATAAGGTGCAATTTTTCCCTCTTCTTCTTATAGACAGCAGACACAGTGTCACATCCTGTGAAGGCGTATGTAACCAGAAGTACATCTTTCATATCCCCAATGCCTTGCTGAATGTCAGAAATAATGTACACTTTTTCCTGGTGATTTCCTTATTTAGGTACGACCATTTTCAGTTTATTCCCTGAAGGTGCGTGGACAGTCAACAGTACTAATAAGTCCGTGTCATCACCAATAACACACGTTTGCGATTGCAAAGCAGCCTATACATGCATTACTGAAGTTGGATGCACTACCTCCCACTTCAGGAGCGTCCAGACAGCATTTATTTAGGACCTACCACCAGGTACAACAGTGGCTAAATGAAGATAAGGATCCACTCAAGTGGGGTTGGAAGAAGATTGGCGACCACCTGACACCAATTACAACAGCACGTCCTGCAGCTCCCCAGGAATTACTGTCCCTTATAATGTGTACTTGCAAAGATGAATGCGTTCGTAATTGTGAATGCAGAAGGAGTGGTCTAAACTGCACTAGCATATGCAGCAATTGCTCAGGCCAAGCAGGTGATAACATGGACAATAATAACATCTTAGACGACGAGCTAGAGGAGAAGGATAATGTGCTGGAGGATGAGTGAAGTTAATAAAGACATTGAACATTCCAAATTTGAAAGATATTTATGCTTAAGAAGTGAATTTATGTTGCAATGTTCGTAGAAAATTCAGAGTGGGTTTCTCCGTACCACAGGTTTATATGGCCTAGGCCTGTGGAAGCCTCTTTTCCCTTAAAAAAAAATGCCCCTTGATAAGGTGGTGAGGTTGTCGTTTCTTCAAGGGCTTATCACTAACATACCACCGGCCACTGAAATAGCAACATTCTTTTACGAAGCTTATTTTTTAAAAAAATTATCAGAATTACGACAAAGTTAACATTTACACCGTCTGTAACTCTTGAACCGTACAATTTAGAGTGATTATGAAAAGGACCATTCTTATTTAAAATTTAACGTAGAACATTTTTGTATATAACAATGTTTAGGATAAACCGCTTAGTTTTTGAAATATTTACGAAAAACTAAAAAAACTAGTGATTTTTCAAATTCCCCCTCCCCTCACCCCCAAACCCGACGCTCAAAATGGTGTAACTTTTTACTATAGAATAAGGGGACTATGTAGAGCAATTTTGTGTTGGAGGAAAACTTTTACTTTGGATGTTGAGGTTTAGGTCTAATTACACCGTACTAAAAATGGAATTAATGAAAAATTATTCAAATTCAAAAACAACTTTTTCTTCCTTAAAACTTTTAGGGACTTAACCAAAAAAAAAATTCTTCTAATTTCAACTTCTGAGCTTGGCTACCTGGCTACCTGTTGGGACATAACACAGAAGGGACAATCCTATAAAATGCAATTGGACTACACTTCTGTGCCTATCTGTGACAGTTCTGTAATATCAATTTTATGAGTCTATGTCTATGATTGATTGACAATTGACATTGAATGTCATTTGCCACTGATGTCATTGTGATTTTGAAGTTTATTTTTTATAAATTTTGTCAGCTGTTCTATGGTGACGCTGTACGCCATTTTAGGAAGAGATTCATTGAAGAATCCTCAGTTATCGTTGCCATCCAAGTCGAAAAATCTTCAAGAATCATGACGACTGGAATGCCGGAGCTAGGCTCCAAGATAAGTCTGATATCGAAGGCTGATATTCGTTATGAGGGACGATTATTCACAGTTGATCCACAAGAATGTACTATAGCTTTGGCGTCCGGTAAGTTTAGCTTTGTTATTTTATCTTCAATTTGCATTTTTAATCAGTTCAGTCAATATTTCTGATATGATAACGTAATTGGTTGTTTTCATGTAACCACTTTGGGTACTATTTTTTTATTATATTGTTGATTACCGTTTAATCGGCGTCATATCTGGAACTGTCAAATTTGATATTTTTTGTAATTGTAATCGTGGATCAAGAAAAAATGTTTCTAGAATCGTTTTTAACCATGATAAATTTTAAATGTTCTCACAAGAATCTAGGTATGGTATCAAATTCGGTTTACATGTAAAAAGGTCTAAAAAATGTCAAGTTTTTTTTGTTAAGAATCCAGTTTTTTCAATACTGTCCTGAATGAGGTTCTGAATTCATAGCTACAACAGTATAGTTATTGATCACAGGTATAATAGAAGTGGAAGTATTTAAAATATTTTTGTCATGTTCATTGTCAATGTACCTACCCCAATTCCCAATTAATGTCTGCCCTGAAGTAAGCTCAGTTTTTCATTTGGAATCAGGAACTTCAAATTATGAATAATAATATGCAAAATTACAATGGAGAAGAAGGTAGAAAAATTGAAAAAAGAGCTTGGAAAGTACAACAGTTTTGAAGTGATTCACCACTATGGTAGAGCTCTTTTCTGTAGCCTGTTGTATAGAATGTTTTTCCCATAATCCTAGCCCATCCAGGCCAACATATTATCATTTTTTCAGTCTCCTGAAACCTACCATACTTAGCATTACACATGCTTGCATTTCGAGTATTGTGTCTAGACAGTTGAGTACTTAGTACCAGTAAAATCATTATGCACATGTAGGTATATTTTTGAAGGGCATTTGTAAGCATAGATTGTTGTTTAGTATGAAACTAATTTTCAAAACACATTTTGACTCCACTTCCATCTAAATGAAATGAATAACCTGTTAGTTAGGTTACCTCAGCTGTTTTCTTCATCTTCTAAATATAGATTTTTCCTGGATTTTTTCAATTGAATTTCCAGAGTTTTGAAAAGAAGTGAAAGAACAGGACCAATCAGAATAATGCATGTACCTTCCTTTCATTTGGTATTTATCTGTTTTATTGATCATTGAATACGATAGTGTTATGGAGGAAATTATTTCAGAATTCTTTAAAATATGTATTTACTATTTGAAAATACTCCAGAAAATATGAAACACCTAAACATCTTTTACTATTTGAAAATACTCCAGAAAATATGAAACACCTAAACACCTTGTTTAATAGAGAATTCTCCAGATTTTTTGTATTGCCTCAAAATATTAAATTGTACATAAGTAGAAAACCCTACTTATTTCTGAGCTTGATTCCATACCTTTTGTTTCTTGATACCTTTTGAATACCAGCTGAGAATTCAAAGAAAACTAATCTCATCTGCTATCCATATCTGTTATAATATTTCCAGTGCAAAGTACTCATTAGTAGCTTGTTTTTGAACCATTTTCATCATACAGACTGACTATCAAAAAAACCCTCAATTTTTGTCAACAAAAAAATTATTTAAATCGCTCCTCAAAGCTCTCAAATACCATGAGTAAATGCACTAATTCCATTTATTTGTTTTCAACTTCAACTGCAACTTGCTTTGTAGTAGTAGTAGTGAATTGGCCTATCTTCATTAAATTGATGGTGAATCTTGAAATTCTTATGTCAAAGTACATTTATGTGCATAAACAAGTCCTACAGCAGTTATAGGCTATTGTGAGTCAGGATTGACAATCTTGAATAACCTTCTTATTGAATTTGACAAGTAGTGTCAAAATACAAACTATTTTTATGAGTAACAAGCAAATGTGTTTGTGAACTACTTTTAAATGAAATCTGGAAGATCACAGGCAGGTTCACACCATACAACCCTTGTATGACTTGTTTATGCACACAAATGTACTTACATGGAGTTACATCAAGAGATTGAGACATTAGAAAGCAAATTTGTGTAGTATTCAATAGGGATGCACCGGATTGAGTATTTTGTCGATCCGGCCGGTTTGGGACCGGAATTCCGGCCGGTTCGGGACCTAAATTTAAAATGTATGCGCATGCCTATTTTATATGTAAAACATCGAAAATATTGAGGCTGATATAACTTAACTTTCTTTTGAACTAGCTACAGTATGCAGAGTGTTAATTACCATTAATTTTAGCTAGATAGAAATTACTGTTTATTCAAATATTAATTTTTAATCAGCCCTAACAAAATTAAAACAAATTTACTTATTCAATTGGAGAATAGTAGCCACCTGTCAATAATAAAAAAAATTAAAAAGAAGTCAGGGAACCCAGCAACTAGTGTCTCTTCAGAGTGACTATTTTCAGAAATTTGTAATATATTTGTTGATAATACAAGTGATAATAGGTGTAGGCTAAACAAAAATTTGAATAAATTATTTTTTTATGTAAAATGCATACTTATCTTATAATACTTATCCATGACAGGGATTTTGGCTGTTATTTTTGCTGTTAGAATTTGGCTGTTAATAATGTTTTCAGTTACTATTTATGTTCTGTAATTTTCAGAAGGAGAATTTATTTTGTTATAATATAAATTATTTGTGAATTATTAACGACTTAACAATAAGTAGGTAGGCACCAATTAAAAAAACCTTAAAATAATTTTCTCCATTTTTGGATATATTTGTATTCTAACATTTCTAACCATATTAAAAATTCAAAACTCTAAAAATTTCCGAAAATTCCGGCCGGAAAGCGATCAGGTCGGAGCGATCCGGCCGGAGCGGCAGATTTAGTGGTACCGCCGGAATTCCGGTGCGTCCTTAGTATTCAATAATAATGGGCATTTGATGGGACTGGCGGATACACTTGAATAAAAAATATCAATAAGAATCGGGATGAAGTATATGTATAGAAAGTAATTGGGATGATAGAAAAAAAAATGATCACCAAAGAACATCAGGTTCAATGTATTGTAGAAAACCATCAAAATATTGTTTCTACTGAGTGTATGATTATCCATGATGAATGAAAATACGAATTCACAACTTTTCTTTTGTTGATTTCATATATGGTATGATGAAGAGTTTTGCTACACAGTCTGAAATTGATGAATTTTGTGAGGTCATAGTCCCATTGGACAAGTCCTATGATAGATAGAAACAGTAATTGAAAAGGATTTTAACCTAGATAATAGGGTCTACGACAATGGGGAAGACCACTGAGGGAAGAAATCCGTGCAAACCTCTTTCAATCGACGAATCATGATTTACATTTCATGTACAATCAATATTATGAGTTGAATTTGAAGGGAATCGAATCCATTTTGAAATCAGCATATTTCATTCGATATTTCAAACAACCAAATATGATGGTGGAGTCGTGACGTATTAGTCCCGAACTGTAGCTATCTCTCTCTGATACCTCGTCATTCTGCAGTGTTGCAGTGTAATTGGTCAGTTCAAGGACAATAGGCGTGTTGGGACTAAGACGTCGCACCAGTCACACCAATGAATTGATGAAATTTCAAATGGCGCAGGAATTGTGTGTTTTGAAATGGACATATACTAATTTATTTTTTTCATCGTCTTAGCATGAATGAAAAAATTCAAAATTAATTCACTGGTAGTTTTTCAGTATGGAGTTCACGATAATGTCGTTTCAAAAAATCAGTGGTCTTTCCCATTAATTATTGCCACTTATACAGAACACACCAAGAAAAATCTAGAGAGCCAAGCTCCATTTCTTAAATGGAATGCCATGTATATAATCACATTTTTGCAATCATCTCAGTGACCTCCAACCACCCATTAAGTATTGACTATGCCTGGAGCACTTTGAGGTTCTGTTTTTTTTTTGTTGAAATATTTGAAAATTCTCACTAGAAAAATCACTATCGTCGCTATAATGGAATTTGAAAGAAAATAAACAACCTGATTTAATAGACGTGATTTTTTTTTGGAGATATATCTGATTCATTCTCATGTTCTAAATTATACAGGGTGTATACAAATGATTTTTCAATTCAGAACTTTTGTTTATTGATTTTTCTCGAGTTTTTTTAAATGGAACACCCCACACCCTATATATTTATGTGATGTAGAATTAGGACGCGAATATTTCTCGTATAAACTCAGACTATTTCCATGGAACATAATTGGAGTGTTTCAGTAAATATGAACAAAAACATATTCACGTACTAATTTTTCATCACATTGAGGAAAAATATGTGGGTTGTACCATTTAGAAAAGTCGCGAAAAAACATTTTTTTTATCTCTTGGAGCGCACGAAAGAAAATTACTGTGATGTTCGAAGAACATCGTGCTTACTTAGGGAGGGTAGGGAGAGGAGGTAGGTGTTGGTTTTTTTTTTAACTTTTGAAAGTTATAAGTTCTTGGGAATACTTCCATTGGCAAAGAATTTCAAAGCTTAGCCGTTTCATAGACGAATGAGTTTTGGTAAATTGTTGTTCCACATAATGCAAGGTTGACAACAAAAGGATGTGCTGCCTGGGCCTGTTGAGTTTGAAAAGTCCGAATTGAAAAATATTATTCAAGACTTCTCGTGTCTCGTGCGAGAGTCTCGCAGGTAAATATTTCTGCGTGCCGACTGCAGACTTGAGAATTTCATTCATAATAGATTCTTGTTCAGATGAATGATGTAGGTATGTACCTATTAGGTACTCAATTTTCAATAAATAATGTTATTTTTGTTGTAATTTTCTCTTCCTACTTCTACATTATACCTAAAAAGTGGGTAAAAGTAAATATCCTGTACTAGACTGGAATAAGATTATGCATGACGAAATTGCGATACATTTGCGAGACTCTCGTACGAGACGCGAGACAAGACGAGACTCGAAGCTGCGAGACGAGACTCGAGACAAGACTTCATATTTCATCGGCGAGACGAGACTTCATGAAAGTCTCGTCTCGTTGGTCTCGTGTGAATCACTAATTAATGCAACAACAGTGATTTTTCTAATAAACATCTTCAGACGACATTACTTGGACAAAAACATTATAACTTTCAAGTGATTGTTTCATATCTCTTGGAGCCCAGAAATGGGACTCCCCATTATGTTTGATAAACATCATAGTAGCTATTGAAACTTTTTTGAACATATTCTAGGGGTGGTTGGAGGTCACTGAAATGTTTGAAAGAATGTGCTTATACAGGGTGTCCCATAAGTTATGGATCAAAAGAAGTGAGGTGGGAGGGGGGTTCATTTGCAATCAAACTAAAGGTGTATGTTATCATCAAATTGTTGATCGTTCAAAAGTTATTCAACTTTTTCTAATAATTGGTTATCTTTGTGGGGTAGTTTTTAAATCTGCTAGCGGCATTTGAAAATTAACTGAAATATTTAATTTCATGACAATACTTAATTGAAACATTTTTGATAGGTAATTGATACGAAGTAACAGAGGTCATGAAATTATTTCTGTGGAAAGGTGGATCCATGCAGATGAAATTCGTTAAAGAAAAAATCACAAATCTGACATAGTTTTATTGTAATTATTTTTTTTTTTTAGAAATTAAGATAATTGATAACTTTAGAACCATCAACATTTGCATAACATACCAGTATTTCCAAGAACTTATAATCCTCCAACACCTACCTCCTCTCCCTATTAGGTAAGCATGATGTTTTTCGAACATTATAGGGATTCCCTTTCGTGCGCACCAAGCGATAAAAAAATATATATACCGTCAGTTTGATCCAGCCCACGTCTTTCAATCCATGACTTATGGGACACCCTGTTTACATGGAATTCCATTTTTGGCTCTTTACATGGTTCTTGGTGCGCCCTGTATGCGTGATTATAAATTCTTGTCATAGATCTTGTTGTCTAGTTCACATTCATTTTTTTATTAATGGTTCAAGCTATCAATAGGACCATAGCAATCCTACTCATTAATGCCTCTGCCTTGAGGATGTTGAAAATTATTTGTTCATTTGATAGTTGCTATAAATACATCATTGTACATAACATAATCAATTGATATCTATATCTATCTAAAAAGGCTGTGGTAAAAAATGAGCCTGAAAACAATGAAAAAAATCAAAGTTTAATGCTGTATTGGTTATTTTTGTTATTCATTTCGGGACCTGGACCTGACTAGAACAATTGTATTTTCCAAAACCTGACACTCCTTATAATTCCCACCAGTACTATAGAACCTTCGATCTAGTAACATATCTCAATAAAACGGTACTTCCAAACTATTTTCGTTATGTGCACAACATAACTTTCGGAACTTTCCTAATAACTGTACCCTTATGTAACCTCCATCTCATGCTCTTAAGCTATCAAATATGTCCTGCTGTAGATTGATATTACATGAAAATACTAGTCAATCTAACAATCTGTCACAATTTATGTGTATTTGAAGCACTACTCCAATGATCAATTTATGTGCAACAAGTGGTATATTGATTCTAACCTAATTTGGATTTTCTAATAGTTTGATGGAGCTGTTTATCATTATGGTTATCTCCTGTATAATAATAACAATAAAAGTGCATTAGTCAGCCTGTTATCCATATGACATAAATTGTAATTAAATTGTTTTGTTGTATAATATTCATATTTATCCTTTTTATTTATGTGATTCATTGTTTGATTCAGGTAAAAAAAGGGAGTGTTGATGGATTAATTTCCTGACATTGACTGGAAAATTCGTAATATTGGGGCCTTTTTAAGGTCTCTTCAGGTTTCAATGATTCACAAGTTAGTCTCATTGTTGGAAAACTCATGTGCTAACTTTTCCATCCTCTCGCCTGATGTCCTAACAAGACCTCCCCGCCTTATTTTCAGTACGTTCCTTCGGCACAGAAGACCGGGAAACCCAGTACCCGGTCCCGGCTCAAAACCAAGTGTACGACTACATCCTCTTCCGCGGCTCCGACATCAAAGACATCCGCGTCATCAACAATGTCGCCCATCCGCAGCCGCTCAACGATCCGGCCATCATGCAACTGTCCGTGCCGCCCACCTTGGGCGGTCAGACCTTCCAGGCGCACCCCGTGCTAGGCCCCATGGGTCCCCAGATGGGCCAGTTCGGCGGGGCGTATGGCGCCATCGGGGCGGCCATGGGCGGCCTCGGGGCAGGCATGGGGCCCGGCCTGGGCAGCATGCAGCGGGACTCGAGAGGGATGGGCAACTCCAAAGCAAGTGAGTTGATTATGGGCGGACCTGCCGCTCCCGGCGTTCTGTCGCCACCTATCGAGCCCCCCGCGCAAGTCAATCACGGTAATTTAGGAATTTTTTATTTTATTTCGTTGCTTGGCGGTGGGTCGCTGTTGCTTGTCGCTTTGCTTGGTGCGTGAGGTGAGGTAGATAATAGATTAAGAAAGAGTAGACATTTTTATACTTACAAATTAGATAAATTCCTTTTCAAGAATTGAGTGATGAAGCTTTTTAGTTTCTTGATTGATTACTTGATTAGTTTATGTAATTAGTAATTTTTCCTCAATCAATGAACCAGGAGTACTTATTTTTATAGGTTGCATGTTGTATTTGATTTGCTTTTAACTTTTTTGTAGAAATATTTTTTTCTTCACTCATGCTATGCCTATATGAAAGTAACAATTTCCTAAAATATGCTGGATAGCCATTTTTTTCAGAAAATGTACAGAATCAACCAGTGGTATGCCATATGTGAACAAATACAAAAACTCAAGCTATGGTTAGGCTTGAGCAGGCTTGTGCTTTTGACTTATGATATAATACTTAACATGCTACAAATGAAACAAAAGAAGTATTTAGTATTGTGCAAATGAATGGAATAAATTCGTTTATAGCCAAACTGTCTATTTTTAAGAAGTTTTCTAAAACACATCGATTTTTATTTTCAATTTTCCTCATTCATAAGGGAAAATTGAATATACAGGGTCATCCAAGTTTGAGTCCTGACGTCCGCGACAATTTTATCGAATGGAACACCCTATATATTATCCAATTTTTGGAATCTGCATTATTGCTGAATTCCAAAATATATTACATGTAGTGTTTGTATACAGTGCATCCGTTGAACTGAGTGCACTCTTGAGGTAGTGGATACATTCCTTTTAGCCACTATCCATTTTTAAGGAATCTCCTAAAACAGGTTGTTTTTTATTTTCAATTTGCCACATTTATAAGGGAGAATTAAATATACAGGGTGATCCACGTTTGATTTATTACGTCCGCTTCAATTTTATCAAACGGATCACCCTGAATATTATTCAATTTTTTGAATCTCTGAGAATCTGAGAATCAAAATTATGTCACATGGGGTTTGTGTACAGTGCATCCATTAAATTCAGTTCCCACGAAAAGGGATATAAATGTGGCAGATTGGAAATGAAAATCGATGTTTCAGGATATCCCTCAGAAATTGATAGTTTTGCTATAAATGAATTTATTCACTACTTCACGAGAGCACGCAATTTAACGAACACACTGTAGACAAACCCTATTTGTAATATATTTTTGAATTCAGCTTTTCATGGAGATTCCAAAAATTTGGCAATATGTTTGATAAAATTGTCGCGGACGTCAGAACGTGGATCGCCCTGTGTAATCAATTTTCCCTTGAAAATGTGAAAAATGAAAAAAAAAATCGACCTGTTTCAGAAGATTTCTCAGAAATGGGCAGTTTGGCTAAAAGTAAATTCATTCATACTGTATGTCATGAAATAGTGCAATCTGGTTAATAATCAAAATATGTCCTCTTGAGAACTCAATTATGCCTAATAGTTGTAGAAAAACAAAATATTTTGAATTTTTGTTTCATCAAGAAGGCAAAGCCAGTCTGTGAATATGATCTTATTGTTTGAGAGGTTTTTAAATACTAATTTAGGACAATGAGTGTTTCTTGTCTTTTTTTACCAGTGGCTATTACATTTACCGAAAAAAAAACGGCCAGAAAAAAAGTTTGCCAGACTGATTCTTGTCCGATTCTGGTGGAAAAAATCGGCCAGAAAAAAAAATTGACAGACTAATTCTTGCCCGATTTTGGTGAAATTCCGACCAAATCATGAATTGATGTTTCTGAATTTTACCATGAATTCTAGTTTTCAATAAAAGCTGATGGTTTAATGATTATACATTGAAAACAAAAGCTACTTTTTAATTGCCCTGTGGTGACAGTGAGTGATTGAACTCAGCTTCATTATGTTTTGCATTATAGTGTGATTCCTTCTTAACACATCACGTCAATATCATCTTTTTGAGACAATTTACAAGTGTTTTAAGTTAGTATGGAATTTTGTAAAATTCTGGAACGATGTTTCAGTACCTACATGAAATAATTAATCAACAACTGGAAAGGAATGTCCCTTATTTATTCTGTCTTTTTATCAGTCACTGGCAAAAAAACTTCAATAACAAGTAGCCCTCCTTCAGCTTGAATTGCAGCATTCAAAAGATGCTCCATAGATTCCATTTTTGCTAATGACAATTAAAAAATCCATACTTTCTTGAAACAGGGTTGGTAAACCCTATCTTATGAATGAGATATTGACGTGAATCAAAAACCATTGTATTAACCCGGCGGCAGTGTGGTAGAAAATCATTACACAGAAGTATGGTGGGGTATGACAAACCTCAAATTTGATATTTTTTATATTTTTCAATTTTCAAAATTATGACATTGTAATTATTGTAATATTCAGTAATACCAATATCACCTATCGAAAACCATAAATCACAATCTCATAAGGTATGTGAAAAAATAAATTGAATGTATTGACAAATGATACTTCCATAGTAATTTTGTTCATATCCAATTTATGAAAATATATGAAGTATGTTACAACGTTTACAATGAACTGAAGTAAAATTGCATGAGTAAGAAAAATAGAAAAAAATACAAAACAAAAACTACACATGCTCCTAAATCAGCCAATATAAAAAAATGATATTTTCTATGAATAATTGGTTTTTATTTCATCTATTTTGCTCAGCTAATTTTGTTCATCATTCTTTTTGTTGTTGCCTTTCTCTCTCAACTTTCTATCCGATTCAGAGTCGATCCGTCCTCTGATTCGACTTAATCCTGCAGTGAATGATACAGGGAACTCCTATAAACTTCACTTGATCCATTTAGTGAGCTATGTGATGACGGATAATTTATTATTGTTATGTCAGTCATTTTTGGTGACAGATTAAAACTGTAGATAATGTAATAAGAACGTTCATAAATCGGATTTATTATCTACAATCTTTTATAAAAAAACAATAAAAGCATGCAATTGAAAAAATAGTAAAGCGCCTTTCCCACTTTGCTCACCACCACCCTCTAGAAGTCTCAGTGTTTTCAGCCTCAGTTCTAGACCTCATCGGCGGCGGCGGCGGCGGCTCGAGGAGCACGACGCCCGTGAGCGTCGGCTCGCGCAAGTCGCCCACCGCCGACCAGGGCGTGCAGGCGGGGGGCGGCGGAGGTGGCCCCAGGGAGGACAAGAAGGTGGTGAGGCCGATCCAGCCGCCCGGGCAGCAGCAGCAGCGGAACGGGCAGAGTCAGGCGGGGCAGGGCCAGCAGCAGAGGAGGAAGTCGAGGGAGAGGCGGGGATCGTCGAAGGATAGGGATGAGGTGAGTAGTAGTGGTAATAGTTATTTAACCAACTATTGTATTAATGAGGGCGATTAATGATCTAGATCATTAAACGGATGTCGGCTTTATTCTGTTCTGACCTGATGGTAGTGAATGAGGAAGGATAGTATCATTTTAAATGTAGCCGATGGTGATTCATTGTTTCAATGATGTTTTCGTTTAGGATCGAGTTCTATGTGAAAAATTCCAATGTATAAATGATAAAACTACTACATTCATAACCTGTCATAATGAAGCCAACTTCCTTCTACATTCCTATTCAGAGACGCATTGAAAACAAACTTGTCACTGATATTAGTGACATTTGTCAAAATAATCAGCATGTAAAATAAATTCCTTGTGTAAGAAAACAGGGACTCATATTGTTTAAGAAACGTTAAAAGGCTAGCCCGTTAACGTGAAATGTTCAATGAAATCCATAATTACGATTTGAGTGTAGAAAAACAATTTGAATCAGAATTCCTGGTTTTGGATATTCTCATGTGATGAAAATGTGAGAATTGCTACCTGCTCAGGTAGTTATATAGTCCCTAGAAGTGCCTGTGGTATAGCATCCCATGTATTTTTGTATCAGGCTATCACATAAGTATGTTGAGATCCTTATTATGAATAAATGGCAATGCAATTCCAGTCCAAGAGGATGAAACATTAGTGCATATGGTGGATTTGGTTTTATTTGATACGGATGAAATGGGCAATAAGGAACATGCTTAATTCAAATTGATTGTGTTTTTTGTTTGATTGATTTATCACTGATATTTCATCAACTCCTGTATAGAATATATAAACGCAAACACATAACCAGACAAAATGATATGTTAACTCTCATCAAAATTTAATCAGATATGGGTAAAAGATCTATTTTATACAATGGAACAATTCTCTATAATAAATTACCTGCCAGACTGAAGAAAAAATTGAGTGTTGAGAAATTCAAAAAAGAACTGAAAAAATACTTATCCTCAATCAATTCAAGAACTTATAATCCACAGTCTCTAGAAGAAACAACATTATATGTACTATGATGTATGTATATGATTTTAAAATGATTATCTGATTATCTAATTTTATTTTATTTTTTTAGTTGCTCTTTCATAATTTTCCCTGTTGTGAACATATATGTTTCCTTTCAGAAATATTAGTTTGTATAGTTATATCAATTTCGGCATAGCACGATTTGAATCCTTGATAGTAACTATTATGTTTTCTTGCAATAGAACAACAGATCGGTAGGCAACCGCTCCCATCAGCAAAACAATCAGGGTTATCATCAAAATAATCATGGGTATCACCACCAAAACTCTCAGGGAGGCTACCACCAGAACTCTCAGGGATATCCACAAAACAATCAGGGCTACCAACAGCAACACCAAGGCTACAACTCTAACTACAGAATGGAGGTATGAGTTAGATCCCAATAGTGTGAAATTTCCCTCTTTTTTCTGCAATAATCACAGTATGATCTGGGAGAAAGAAATTAAATCATGGTCTAGTCCAACACTATATTTTTCACAGCATAAGCAGTTGAGGGATCAACATGCAATACACCTACACACATCTTACTGTTGATAATATCTGCGATTTTTTTATTGCCTGTTCAACATTGCTTGATCGTATTTTCGAATCATTCCAGAACAGCTTGATATTGTTCAATGAAAGGTAAAAGACCATTCAGCATATTTTAAAATTGTCAATTTTGTTGAAATAACGCGCAACATTCAACTTGATTTAGCTAAGACGGGGATATATGACTGCAATAGGTGCTTGACTCGGCATTTTTCACCATGTTCAGTGACATTATTGGAAACACATTTTTTTCTGGGTGAATTATACTGTATCAACTAACGATTTTGGTATATCGGCAATTTAAAAAAAAAATATTCTGTTATCACTTGAATATCTATATCATATTTCACAATCTAGTTAGTTCCTAGTTACTACAAACGGCTGAAGATGGACTTTAAGTCCGAAACATGTCCCCTTGATTGAATTACATCAGTAATAAATTAGTGGAGATGACTGAGCTTTCTTTCTTCCTTTTGGTTATACTTGTATCTTTGATCCCACAAAAATGATCTCAAGTACACTTTTGTTTTCAATTTGCTGATATCCATTGTTACACATTACATTTTCTGCATACCTACGGTGACTGATTCTCAATCGATACTCTGTCAGTGAATTGCTAAGAAATATGTCTAGCACATATCGCCAGTCTGCAAAATCACTGCCGCTCCGACGTTAATACCTATATATGAACACGTGGTTGTAACTTCATTGCTTCGCTAGTATCGCAGCTTTTCTCATCGTTCACTGCTCCAAACATGTTCACGGTCGTAGCGCTGAAACGTGTAATGTTATCATTGGTGAATAGTAGCCAACCAGTTCAAATTAACGAATAATAGCATTACCACGTCTCATCGCTAGCATCGTCAAAATCGCATAGCAGTTAACCAATCCTGAACGATCGCAATTTTTCAACCAGCAGCAGCAGCACAACCAGTCCGGCTCGAGAGGCAACTGGGCGAACAGGGGCGGCCAGCAGATGCGGCCGAGGGGCAGGCCGCGAGGCGGCGGCTTCAGGAACAATGGCCCCAATCAGGGGGGCAACGGCGGCGGCAACCGGCCGAGGAACACGCTGAAGTTCGAGAACGACTACGACTTCGAGCAGGCCAACACGGAGTTTGAGGAGTTGAGAAGTCAGTTGGTCAAGGTGAGAGAAAATGGAAAACAATAGTATTTTTCTACAAAAGCCTAGCAAAGAAGCCTTTGTCGAGCGGCAATCTATCACTTTGCGCTCTAAATACACAAATAGCTATTTTCTACTCACTGCATTGAAAGTTGGCGCTTGCACCCTCATTTGAGGACCCAAACCTGACCGTGGGAGGTAAAATAAATTAGCTTTAGCTTACTTTCTTGGTAGAGATACATATTAGATCTGTGCTACCCAAGTACCTAATCAAAGTCTCCATCGCTACTCTAAAACAATTTCCTTTTTCTATGGCTATAACACAAAATTGCTCTTGTTTTACTGTGTTTGATATGTCAATGAGGTACTTTGTATGTCATCAATATTATTTCCGTATCTGATATTACAATGACTTCATTATGTTATTATTTCAAAAATATCTCATGGCTCATGGAATGTCAAATGTGAAGCAATGACAGCTCTGTCTGATAGATGAGCATTACTTGAGATGGCTACAAGACGAAGAAATCGAAAATGCTGCTGATATCTATTATAGCCGTAGAAAAATTATAGTGTATAACTTGCACAGAATGCTAATTTCCTACTGGAATGATTGCAGCATTCGCCTATGGCTCATGCTGTAAACTTCCTCGAAAAGCACTATCAATCTGTGCTCGTTGAACAGTATGAAAATTTCAAGATGCAAGGAGAATTACAGTTCACAAAATATATTTGTAGTGCTGTTCAGACACCTTGCTAGATTAAAGGTTTAATGATGATTATTTTTTCATTCCAAAGTTTTTTTTGCAATGATATTATCGTTGATCTACAAGAATTTCAGAACACAGTGAAAAATAATATTTTTAGTTTCGACAAATTGAAAAAAAATCTGTGTTCAGTGATGATGAAGACACTAATCAAATCCTGTTTTGATTCCGTAAATCATCGTGTAATCTGTCAAATACGTTCAAAATTTAGGAATTTCGCAAAGTTCCGGAAGTTTCCAGATAAATCTTGAATAGAGAAGTCGTTTGTTCACAGGATTCCAATGTGAAATTATTATAATTTCTTGAGCACAGATACAATACAAATACATGGAAAACGTTTGAGATAAGACTGCGTCAAAAACATGGTTGGCACGAATTAATTCATATGAATTTAGTCATTGTTGTAAACAAATCGCGATATTACCTTTGATTTAAACTGATTTAAACTGAAAAAATCCGATGGCTTTATGGCAACCTGACCATCATAAACATCTTACAACCGTGGAGCGCCCATAGGCGGCATATGAATTCATCAATTTCTTTTCAGTCTGTTTTGCGAAAGTTGGAGGAAATTTGATGGAAACACAAATGATGGAAAAACATTTTATAGATTTTTTTAAGGTCAAAAAGACATTTGATAGAAACACTATTGATAGACGATACATTTGATAGTCACGTCACTAGTTTTTGTCATTTTATGAACCACTAGTCAATAAAGACATCTGTTGTAATCAGCCTGAATTCACTATTCTGATGCGAGATTCGCAGGAATGGCACTCGAATCTAGTAGGTATTTGTCAATAAGCCTTGTCATAATAGAAAATAAGTGGATTCATAGTGACAATAGGCCCATATTTAAGTTTCATAGAACTGCATTGATAGAAATATATTGCTAATGGTGAATAAATTCCATATACGGCTAAAGCCTCGGGATATAATCTTGGGGGGGGGAGTATAGTATTTCTTTCTGTGACAGGAAAAACGACGATTCAATATTGAGAAGATATTAAATTATAATAAAATAAGAAGATTATGGATGCGGAGTTTTTAACTGGTGGTACACCTATGTTTGCAGGCATCTTTTTTATTGCTATGGAAACCTTTTCAAAGAATCGAATATGTGTCAATTTAATTGTGTTTTTATTTAAAAAAAATTGCGAACTTGGTTGTTGATTAGTAATTTATGAAACCGCGAAGTGGAATGGGAGATAAAAAGGACTTTCAGTACTTTCTCGGTGACGGTGTTTTCAGCTTATTTTTCGGAACTGGCACAATAAAAGCCATCAACAACGCACCTATCTATCCAGGAAAAAAGTTATATATGAAAAGTGACATTTGTAACCAGTCAACAGATACAAAATCTCAAACTTTTCTTCCCCGTCACATTAACTATCTATCTTTTGTGTTTCCATCAAATTTCCGCCACCCGCGAAAATTGCACGTTTTGTTATGTTATGGTTTGTGATTTTTGAAAAAATTTTAAACCTACTTTTTTTATGCCTCTTTTGTATTTTGTTGATGTAAATATAATTTGATTTTTTTCCAAGTGAAATAATTCAGAACAGTCGCGAGTTAATTCAGAAAAACGGATTTTCCTACTTTCTTATGAAAATCATGACTTATTCCAACCCTGGTTGTAGAAATTGTCATCACTTCATCGATCGTCTTCTTCCATCAGGTGAAAATCGACGAGGCGAGCAGTACGGCGAGCGCGAAAAGCGGCGACACGAACGGCGTCGTCGTCGTCGACGTCGACAGCAAGAAGGACGACTCGGGCAACGAGACGGGCGCCGGCGACACCGAGCAGGAGGAGGAGCACGAGTCGTTCTACGACAAGAAGAAGTCCTTCTTCGACATGATATCGTGCGAGGCGGTGGAGAGGGCGAAAGGCAAGTCGCAGAGGACGGATTGGCGGGTGGAGAGGAAGCTGAATTCGGAGACGTTCGGAGTGTCGTCGACGAGGAGGGGACAGTGAGTAGAACGATTTTTCATGGCACTTTCTATTTTACTGTGTGGGTAACACTGAAGCTACTCCGGAGCAAGAAAAAAGACCTTCCCATACCCCTTTGTTACTGTCAAATGACAAGCGATTTTTGATTATGTTTAATGATTATTTTCTATTTTCATGTATCAAAATAGTTCAACTCACAATTATAACTTGCTCATTACCAGAATCAGATATTATCAACATAGATTGGCTATATTTCAATATTTTCAAAAGGTAAAGAATAAGAGCGCATGTGCAGTGTCGTGAATTGTTGAAGTTCACTAAGCGTTCTATTTGGGTTTAGCTCAAGTGCAACAACATACACTGGGCTGCTCAGGTGCATAATACTAGGTGGGCCAAAAGAAATCACTCTATTGGAAGATGCTCTTATTTTTGCGAATGGCCGCTGTCAAATCTGTTTTGACTTTTGTGAACTAGACAGATGTAAAATACAAGTAAACAAGCCATGGAGCAATACTCTCCCCAAGAACGCGGAATAAGCCAAGCCATCCTCAATCTCATGAACGATGTTTCGTCCAAAATCATAATGAGCGACGAGGCTCATTTCCACCTCAGCGGGTACGTGAACAAGCAGAACTATCGCTTCTTGGGTACTGAAAATCCACGAGTGATGCACGAGGAGCCATTACACCCGCTCAAAGTGACTGCTGGTGCGTTGTTTACTCTGGAGGAGTCATCGGGCAATATTTTTCGAGGACGCCGCTGGTCAACCGACAACAGTGGACGGTGTGCGCCATAGGACCATGTTAACCCAGTTTTTTCTGCCGCAATTGAACGAATTGGGACTGGAGGAAATGTGGTTCCAACAGAACTGAGGGAGCAACGGCACACACTGCGCGACCGAGGCGTCCCGGATCGCCTCATCTCTCGTTTGGGCGATTTGCTCTGGCCCGCAAGATCGCCCGATTCAACCGTCCCAGACTTTTTTTGTGGGGTTTTTTGAAGTCTTGTGTTTACTTGAACAAGCCCGAGATCCTGGAAGCCCTCAAGGACAAAATTGGACAGGAGTGCGAGAATCTGACGCCCGAAGTTCTCGCCGAAGTGATGAATAATGCCATATAACGAGCCCGTAAAGCAATCAATTGTGGCGGTGCCCATTTGGCCCATATCATCTTCTCGACTTAACCAATAAAATTCTTAAGGTTCAAATAAACATAATCAAAAAACAGAATTGCTTTTCATTTAGAAAAAAATGAGAGGCAAACAACATCGGATGACTTCTTTTGCCCCACCTTGAAGTGTTTATTCAGATATTTATATTCAGAGTAAGTCGTACTTACATGATATTGTGCGAAACGGTGGAAAAGGCGAAGGGCAAGTCACAGAGGACGGACTGGCGGGTGGAGAGGAAGCTGAATTCGGAGACGTTCGGAGTGTCGTAGACGAGGAGGGGACAGTGAGTGGAACGATTTTTTTATTTTCGATTGTTGATTCGTCGGGCACTTTCCATTTAACTGTGTGGGTAACACCGGAGCTACTCCGGAATGGGTTCGGAATGAAACTAACCTTATGTAGGGCAAATGAATGCTGGAATACCGACGGCTCTAAAGCTTTGGAAGGCGTCGGAGCCGGAATATATGGGATGAACCCAGTAGTGAAACGCTCATAAAGTATGGGTAAACTAGCTACGATATTCCAGGCAGAGGTATACGCCATTGAAATAATAATAATAATAATAATAATAATGGATTTTATTGACAGGTATAGGTAAATACAAAATAAATGAAAAATGATAGAGAGCTGAGAACTGTATACCTATCAAACGGCAGAATTCAAGTTCAGATCATTTCACCAGTGAAAGTGACGTAATCAGAACTTGCTCTTCCATTCAACCGAGGGAAAAAAATAATTATCGCTATGTTATACATAAACCTATAAGTAACCAAATATAAAGTAATTTAAATTTACACATGAACATTTCAAATATAAATCATCATAAAGCTGGATGCATAGGTACCTATAAAAAAAAAGGAAAAAAAAATACATCATAGTAACTGAGGCAAAGAGTTATGGAGTGGGTCAGATTTCAGTTTTTTCCAGAAATTTGGAATCGATAATGTTTTCGGGAGTCGATTGTAAAGCCAGGCGATATTATAGGAGAAAGAGCCACGATAAAGAGTAGTTTTATGAGGTGGTATCGAGAGATTATTTCTGAATCTAAGATTCAAATTATGAATGTCAGTTCTATAGCAAATTTTATCGTGGAGATAAGAAGGTGTTTTTGTAGTGATAATTTTATGGTAGAGAATACAAGCATGAAATACACGTCGGGCCTCCATATTTAACCATTCTAAATTATTTAGTTGGTGAGTTACATGCTGTCGCCTTCTGGTCCCAGTGATAAGCCTTAAGCATGAATTCTGTAAGGTCTGTAATCTTTTCCTGTCGGCTTGAAGTAAGTTGGGACCGTATACAATATCAGCATAATTGGCATGCGATAGAACCAACGAATTACATAAGATTTTCTTGGAATTTTGGTTTAATATTTTTCTATTAGAGTATATCATTTTCAAATTGTAGTATCCACGCTTTATTATTTGGGACACATGTGATGAGAATCTGAGAGAATGTTCCATAATGAGACCAAGGTTTTTTGAACGATCTGTAAGAGGTAGTTGTAGATTATCAAAATTGTTAATGATTTTACTCTCGTTTCTTCTTCTCATTGCAGTTCGGCCAAATAGCATCATAACTGTTTTTGATGGATTAACTGTTAGGCAGTATTTTTTTGAGGTTTCGATCAAAGAATTCAAATCATGATTGATCTGCTGACATGCAACTTGTACTGAATTTTCCGAGAATTGTTTGTAAATCTGAGTATCATCAGCGTAGCTATGAATACGCGTGTGTCGGAGACACTTAGGAAACTGAGACGTGTAGATCACGAATAAGATAGGTCCGAGAATTGATCCCTGTGGTACGCCAGTTGAAGTTTCAAGGAAAGTGGATTTCTCTGTATTATTTAATACAACGCATTGTGTCCGACATGATAAGTAATTTTGAATGAGTGTTCTAGAAGTTAGCGAAAATCCAAGAAATTTCATTAAGGCTATCAAAAGCTGATGACAGATTTTGTCAAAAGCTTTGGAGTAATCAATTGAAACCAGAATTGACAGATCATTACTGTCAACAGCTTTGTGAATGTCATCGACCACTTTCAAAAGAGCTGTAGTACAGCTGTGATTAGTTCTGAAGCCCGATTGAGATGAAGGCAGAAGGTGTTCAGCATCAAGGTAGGCACAAATTTGTTTATTAATTATTTTTTCGAACACTTTTGATATGGCACAGAGTATGCTATGTGTGCAAGGGAGCTGGAAAATCGATACCACACACAAAAAACTGAAGATATTCTCAGATAGTCAAGCAGCACTGAAAGCACTTGAATTCAACTGCTTTAAATCCAGAGCAGTATGGAACTGCAGAGAAACCTTAAAACCGACTGGCACAACACAATAACGTTAACCTACTCTGGATACCAGGTCACATGGGCCTAAGAAAACTAAATAGCGGATGTCCTAGCAAAAGGGGGGGGGGCGACAAATCGTTCACTGGGCCAGAACCGGTAATCGGTATAGCACATTGCACGGCCAAGAATGTTATTGTTATAACCTGGGCCGACAACAAAAGACTCGAGTATTGGCGTAGTTTACCGGGCCTAGCCTACTCCAGGACTCTAACAAACTACTAAAACTCAGTCTACTGAGTTATAGTAGGTTTGCTCACTGACCACTGCAAACTCAAACACCATATGCACAAAATCGGACTTGAACAAGATGCAGAGTGCCGTCTATGCATGGAGGAGGATGAAACGGCTTAGCACATTCTATGTACATGCCCTGCAGCCAGAATCAGATTTTCAACATTTGGCAATACAACAGTAGGACCAGAAAACCTGATGAATTGTTCTCCCAACATACTCCTTAATTTCGCCAACAGATAAGATATACTGGGAGAAATATATCCATAGGGTGAGCCACAATAGGTCATAGGCCGCGGTGGGGCGCCTGACATGGACCCACTCACGTTTAACATAAACTCACCTACTCCAGGACAAGAAAAATAGACAGGAACGCGTTATTATGGTTAGTGCTTGAAGCCCCTGTGCTTCACCATGCTACACCATCTTATCTGTATCTTAATAATAATTATATTAATTCCTATTCATTCTACTAGAGGACATTTGGTACGGTAAACGTGACAACACAAAATTGTGGGCGTTGTCTTGAAAGCCCACAGCATTGTCAAGTTCCTAGCCAACATTCACATGATGTTTTATTATGGAATATGAGAAATATCTTAACAAACTGGCATCCTCATATCAGGTAAAATTAAATATTCAATTTGGATGTAGTTTTGTTCAAGGACAGGACTCTTATCAATTTTTATTAACTTGATTATAATTGGTGACTTGACAACCTTGCTTCATGAGTGGGAATGTTAGATTATCTGACCAATAAGGAAACAGTATAACAACTGACGTCACTATGTTTCCGAGACGTATCCCAGAACATGGCCAACTGGCGGCCATGTCGGTACGTTTGAAATGAGTTCTGAAATTCAACAATTTCGAACAACTCATAGATACCATTATTACACTTTACATAAAAAACGCTTGCGACGTGTTCCAAAAATTAATTTAGGTCCCTAACGACACAGTGGAGTAATTGAATGCCAATTATTCACTATCAGTCCAGTAGTCTATCTGAAGGCAGTTGATTTTATGCAGGACCAATATATCACTAGTTTTTGCCTCGTTTTGTAAAAATGCTATTCCATTTCAGTTACAGGGGTCGCGGAGGTTACCGAGGCATGGGCTACCGAGGAGGCTACAGGCAGAACAACTACAGGCAACCGCAACGCAACAACAGGGACCAGCAGCAGCAACAACAGCAACAGTCGTCATCGTCGACGACTGCCCCTCAGCAACAACAACAAGGTAATACTTCGACAGAACAACAACACGAGAAACAGGAAGTCGCGGAAATTAAGTCAGGCACGGAAATCGCCCTAATAACAAAGCAGGCGTCGATTAATGACGAGGTCGCTTCCGTTGACGCGTTGGAAGATGCGCCTAGTCAGGCGTGCGAACTGAAGAACATACCAGAACCTGTAATGGCAGGTAGCTTTTTCGAAGTATATTTTCGTGTTCGGGGGATACTAACTCGGTTGTGACGTCTTGTTCTGTTGGTATTTAGTATCGGGTGTTTTTGTGTAGGAGTGAAAGTGGGATACTTTCACATCAATCTGGCATATGATTATAATCAGCGATTAATAATGATTTATTTCCTCTTCGTACAGAGGTACATGGAAGACAATGCTCGTTTTTTTTTATTTACCAGTAGCTCCATCAATCTATCAACTGCGTTCCAGTGGCGGCTCGTACTCTACAACAGGGGAGGCTGAACAGGGAGTTAGAATGTGAAACTCTAGGAAAAAAGCTGACGACACTTCTAAGGTTCTTGTTTTATAGAAAATCCGTAAGAGGCGCTGATATCGTCATATTTTCAAAGGCCATGGGACCAAATAACAACAATCACTTATACTTACGACAAAAAATACCGAAATTGTGTTGGTAGTTTTAATTTCCATAGTTTTAATGAAATTCTGATAATTGAGTACAGCGACATCTAATAGAATAACATGTAACGCCAACATATTGCGATTTTCAACTGCCTATTGCCGTCCAGTTTGGGCAAAACGAAGCGCATCAGTGCAAACACCATATACTTATAACTATCTCAGTCACACGTGCTCCCTGGCGAATCGCGATTCTGGCGATTTTCATTGGTCAGAGGCTTCTTTCCGTTGGATGTTGCCTAGTATCGTGTTTGTATTCTATTCTGAATACTTTTGAGTAAAAGCATTGTTGCCAAATTCTACTTGATATCAGGAAATACAACTTGCAAATGGCATGCAGTTTGGAATCTCGGAAACCCTGTATTAAATTTTTACAGTTGTCCCGAAATTTTCCAACGTTAGTTAGACGAGGGACTGATGCCAATTTTTCCAGAGTGTTTTTGTTATTAAAACCTCACTTCTTCACATCGGCATGCAATTTGAAAACACCGAAGTTTCCTTTAATTCTCTTCAGTTTTTTGTGACCCTCTTGGAGACCTTTCGGACGCTGCGGATTGAATGCCATCAATTATTAACGCTTCAGTTTGTTTGAACTTCCGTATATCACAACGGCAGGCAGTATAATATCGCGGAAAAACACGAAAATTATTCACAAAAAGAAAAGCGCTTTTTCTCATTGAGTGCACACATGCGGCGGCCAGGAACTCGTCTATTGTTCATATTTTGGGGTTAATTATAAAGCCTTAAAAACACATGCAGTGTAAAATGGGAGAACGTCACCTCATGGTCTATAAAGATGTATCGGATTGTTTTTTTCTCTGGAGTTAGAAATGAAATATATCCAGTCTAAGAAAAAGTTCAAAAGATGATTGTTTTGACAACTTCGATAACATTTTCTTCAATGTATGAGGTCTGTTCATTAGTGCTCAAGCTTGAGTTGCAAATCTGAAATAGTTCAGTACTATTTGATAATCTTCTAACGCTCCTCAAAAGGGGATATTCACCTGCTGTGAAATAACTATTTCCATCATACTCATAAAACATAGAAAAATAAAAGATCTTGTGGATAATAATCCTTGGTCCCAAAATATATTGGTTTGTGAATTGAAGACCACTGAAAAACTCATTATGGTAGGTGACTTGAAGTATATTTTATGTTATTGTAGAGGGAAAACTAACTCTTGTGTGTGTTGTTTTCTGTCTTCTTGAAGTTCATTTTATTTTTTATTAGACATAAAATTATTCGGCAATGGTCACAATACATTTTTTCCATGTTCCTTGAATAGGGTGCAACAATACTATAAGAGTTTCCAAAACACCTAAGTCAATCAAATTTTGATTCAAACTGAAACAAAAATACAAGGGTCTATGTACAAGGTAATCTAAATTCAAGTGAAAATTGAATTGTCAGTTATTGAAATGAGTTTCCCATTATATTCATCATATATTCATCAATTATATTGGTTTTGGTAGAAAAAATTTTAATTTTATGATTAACACCCCATCAGTAATTTTTTTTCTTATACAGATTGTTTTCCGAATCGTTACATATAGGGCGCGTGAATGTGATTCGGCTATCGTACGTCTTCGCTAGGCTCCGCTGAAATGAAATTCATTATGCGCCCAACTGTTTCGCGGTGAGCATCGTTCTCTGTGACTGCGATGTTGCCAAATGTCGCCCTTTCTTGATACTCCTATATGTAACGATTCCATAAACAAATTATATTGTTCCAAACATATGGCATTTTTTTCAGCTAAAATTTCAAGTTTATGAATAGGTACAGGGTGATTGTTTATATTTTACTCAATAGCTATCTCAGTTAATATTGGTCTTACAGGAACGGTCAAACGGGCAAAAATGAAGTATTTTTCATGGGCAGAATCTACCTTCTCCCCCTATCCTCCCTAGGTACGCACGATGTTCTTCGAGCGCTTCAAGTGATTAAAAGAGGACTGGAAAATGAAAAATGCATCGTCAACCTAACAATTTTACATAAACTGGTAGTTTTCAAATGGAACATCCTGTATTTTACTTTCCTAAACGGTAGCACTCTCGCTTCTGATTTCAAATCTATATACTTTATTGAGGTTTTCTTTTGTCAGATTTGGAGAGTTATAGTTTTTTGGTATAGATCTAAGGCAGGTGTTCAACGCCATCGACAAATGCTGCGATTTCTGCCGTTCTAGCATATATACAGGGTGTTTCATAATTGAATGTCAATATTCGAGGAGGCGATTCTTGGGCCCATTCTAAGAAGAAAGTTTCATATGAACATATGACCTAAACATCCCAACTTTTGAGATACAGGGTGGTAAAATTCTCGAAAATTAATATAGCCTACTACAATGAGAAGTGATAATTCCAAAATACCAAATATGAATACGAAGTTCATAAACTATGAATTGTATTTCTGAAATTTGATCTAAGAAATAAAATCTAGTTCTCTGCATTGTGATATTGTCATATTAACGATATTGCTATAATCATGTAGTAAAAAGCTTGTTATATTTTTAAGCGAAAACCGTGCATCAGATTGAAAAAATTGTAGTGATCAAATTTGCTTAGAAATGTTTGGGAATTTCAGGAATGATTTCAATTTGGAGATTAATCAGTGGCGTACCATTAATGTCTGCCAAAATAGGTATGTGAAATTCCATACGAACGCCACTGGTGGCAACAACAAAAAATGTGGTACGCTTACTGATGCATCTTGATACATAGTACATGTATGCCAAATTTCATCAGAATATCTGAAGTGGTATTACAGATATTAATAAAAAACTATTAATTTTTGAGAACTTTACCACCCTGTATCTCAAAAGTTAGGATGTTTAGGTCATACGTTCATATGAAACTTTCTTCTTAGAATGGGCCCAAAAATCGCCTCCCCAAATATTGACATTCAATTATGAAACACCCTGTATATTCGAAATCAGAAGAGCTCTACCGTTTAGGAAAATAAAATACATGGGTTGTTCCATTGGAAAAAAAAAACAGTTATACAGGGTGATTCACATAAGAACCGACATAGAGCAGGAACATGTAGGGGGTCCCAAAATATGGCAATTTGACGCAACTTACCTTTATACCAAGTTGCTTCCCTAAGGAGTTATAGGCTTTGAAAGTGAAGTTATAAATTTTGAAAAAAATTAATATCTCCGTTATTCTTGAACTTAAAGCAACCAAATTTGGTACACTTTGTGGATGTATTTAGGGCCTCACTTGGCAGTAACTGGACTTCAATTGAAATTTGTGAAGGGGGTATACCGGGTGGCGCACCATTAATATTCAACAGAATTTTGTTAACCCTCGATGGATTTCAAAAATCTTTGCTTTGTTTTGTGGGCAATTCAATTCTTAAACTTTTCTTAGTCTAGTAATTCCTCGAAAAACCTCATCATTTCCATCAAAAACTCGAATAACGCGTGCTCTAGGTGTGTTATTTAAAATCATCGAAAATTCAAAAGTTGGCTATGAAAATAAACGTCAAACTTGCCAATGAAGCAAGTAAGTTGTTCAATTGAGTATTTTATCGATAAACAATTGTTTGTTCTGGTTGTTTAAGTTTTTTGTGTTTATTTTGGTTCGTTGTTAATCCCAGTTTTTCACATTTCAGTATCTGTCCTTACTTTACGTATTTTGTTACGTATCTAAATAATAATTTTCCAGCAAATTTCTACTGATCACAATTGATGACCTACTTTCTTGTTGTACGTTCATTTTCATAGCCAACTTTTGAATTTTCGATGATTTTAAATAACACACCTAGAGCGCGCGTTTTCAGTTATTTGAGTTGATGAAAATGATGAGGTTTTTCGAGAAATTACTAGACTAAGAAAAGTTTAAGAATTGAATTGTTCACACAACAAAGCGAATATTTTCGAAATCCATCGAGGGTTAACAAAAAGAATAAGGGAGATATTGGTTTTTTTCAAAATTTATAACTTCACTTTCAAAGCCTATAACTCCTCAGGGAAGCAACTTGGTATAGAGGTAAGTTGCGTTAAATTGCCATATTCTGGGACCTCCTACATGCCCCTGCTCTATGTCGGTTCTTATGTGAATCACCCTGTATATACAAAATTTAGGCTTACGATGCTTTCTTGCATTTTCTAGTACTAGATTCAGAATGCCCATTAAAAATACCTCATTTTTGCCTATTTGAACGTTTCAGTAAGACCTATATTAACTGCGATAGCTATTGAGTAAAATATAAACAATTACCTTCTACACAAAACATAATGAATTTTAATGAATGTCTCAAAAATTATGAGCAAATGGTATGGGTCACAAAAAATTTAGTGACCCCTGATTTATTGATTCAATAACGCAACCTAACAAGTATTTTCAATACGATTAAAGGAGAAATATTCATTGTTTTAACTCAGAATCTATAGAATAACGTTCCACAAAATAGGAAACAATTAAAACTCATGGAATTGTCCTATATATGAGTGTATTATATAATTCTAGGGACATTAATTCAGCAGTTCATATATTTTATTATATAATTTATAATGCAATCCATTCGCATGTATCAATAAAAACATGTTAAACATCAAATTTCTTAGTGTGGTTCACACCTGAACTAAAAACATAAGAATTTTGTATACTTCGCTCACAGTGTGAATCATTAAAAGAACAATGTTACCTCAAAAATTTACGCAAGTCTAGTTCCTACCAAAAACCTTGCACTTCAATAATCTGTACGAATGGCTCAGATATTGTCTATCTTTTTGCCGACCATATTCTAATAATAATAGTTACATTCCAAAATAGAAACCTAGTTGACATCAATAATCTCCATGGAAGCTCAATTGAATTTTTTGAGGGTATTCAGATTTTGAAGAATAAGTATTCCAGTGGCCCTGAGGGTATTCCTCCAGTACTATTGAAATTATGTAATTGTACATTAGCCTATCCCATTCATTACCACTTCAACTTGGAATCATCTTTGATGAACGTCTCACCTAACCTTCAAGAGTCATCTACTGAAAATATCAGCATCCGCCAATAGAATGGTAGGTTTTTGGTCTCGTAATACAAATATTTTTCATGCAAAACATCGTATATTTCGCACTGCTCCCTTGTACGTTCCCTTTTGGACTATGGCTGTATAATTTGGTCACCATCACACCAATCGAATAATCCCAAGTTGGATTCGCCAAACACATATTCTTTAAAATTGAAACTTCATTTTAACTATTCTGATACACTCTACCCTCAACCTAACTGATTCATCTGTCCGTAGCTTTAGGCTAGATAGTTATACTATGTTCAAGATAATCTCAGGTGACATTGATTGCCATGAACTTCTCAACAGGATCAACTTCAATGTTCGCTCATATTTCACGAGAAACTCAGAATTATTTGCTATAAATACTCATAGAACCAACTATGGGTTCTTCATCCCTTTTTCGCGCATTTTGTGCAATTTCAATGTATTTAACATTGACCCATTCGTTCAGCCTTTAGTTGTATTTGAAAATAGAATTTGTAAAGTTGATTCTAGGTTAATCCATCACCATTAATTTGGTGGATACCTTTTTCTCTTCTTCTCTTTAATTTTTTTTCTTTGGGCATAATTTAATGGTTCAACCTAATGGCTGTACTTAAGAAATAGTTCAGAAAAACTTGCAGAACTTGGCGTTATTAAATCTATAAATCAGGGGTGACAGACTAACTATGTCCCTTGTGGTATAAAATATTTTTCATACTTGTGGGTACATCTTGTTTCTTGTTCAATCAGTGTCTTATCTAATATCACTGTGATTTACTGATTTGAAAACAATTTTGCAGTAAAATAGAAGATATGCCAAGAAGAAAACCTGACATCAACCAGATGAAACTGTATTGTTAGGACAGTGTGAAGTTTTAGTGATCTGTGATTTATTGAAAAAATTGTATAACGAGGACACATGGCAGGTTGCATAGGTGTTACATCAGAGAAATAAAAAAATATTCTTATATTTCTGACGACTGTAGCGAAAAATTCCAATTATAATCTAAAGATCTAAAGTAAAATAGGACTTGTAATGTGTGGTAGGTTGTATAGGATGTTGCTGTAGGAAACAGAGTAAGCATTGACAAATTTGCTGGTTTAAATTTGTGATCTCATCTGGAGAATATTTAATGAATAATTAGAATTCGAGATATGAGAATATCATTCTGTCTCCTAACGTTAGCATACCAAAACTTAATGTAAGGTTATGTGGCAAATATACTCTTACAGTTGACAGATCTTGAGATTTGTAAAGCAATCTGTTTGAGCGTAGCTTGAAACATAACCAAAATTCAAGGTCAGTCCTTTTTTCATTTATCAATAACTCCTATTATGAATGTATTTGAAATTGGCTGAAATGACACTCAAAGGCTAAGTAACACCAATAGAAATAATGGTTTGTGGTTGAAAAAAGAACTAATTTTTGCCAAAGTTCAATTTTTTTCATTGTTATGAGAATTGACAAATATTGTATACTGACGAGTTCTTGAATATTTGTTAGCACAAAATAAAATAATATTGGAAAGTTGCAAGGTTATTTGGGTAAAACTGCATTTTTGGATGTTTTTGAATTGGGTAAAAAATTCTTTTTGTTTATTTTTCTTTAATTTTTGCGTTTTTTGTTTGGTTGGGTTGGTGCTTACAAATATTCAATCTTGAAAATTACAAGATTCCATCTGTTGGTGGGTCAGTATTGTAAACGAGTTGGTCCCAAATTATTTATGTATATTCTCCATTGAACTTTATATTGTAGCTTTATATTTCCATAAGAGAGATTTTTCATTTTTTATTGTGTGAATGGCATTTTAACTTATGAGGTGATTAAATTATTGAGTTCAAATAGAATGTTTTTCCACATGATTTGTTGTAAACTTGATAACTATTGTTGATATAGACTTTTCTATTAAGTAATTTGAAATAAAAATATTTACAGTAGTTTTTTTTTATACTTTCGAATTTGCTTTTCATTTACGACTCAAACTTCATTTTTGTCCTATACACCCAAACGGCTGTCAAATACTTGTGATCTATGAAGTGTTTATCGTGGTGATATATGTAGTGTGTCCTATACACCCAAACGGCTGTCAAATACTTGTGATCTATGAAGTGTTTATCGTGGTGATATATGTAGTGTTTATCATGGTGATATATGTAGTGTTTATCTTGGTTTTATCTCATGAATGTGTCTTATAGGCTCTTCAAATACTTATGATCTATGTAGTGTCTATCGTGGTGATATATGAAGTGTTTATCGTGGTGATATATGTAGTGTTTATCTTGGTTTATCTCATGTGTCTATAGGTGGTTTATCTCATGAATGTGTCTTATAGGCTTTTCAAATACTTGTGATCTATGTAGTGTTTATCGTGGTGATATATTATGTAGTGTTTATCTTGGTTTATCTCATGAATGTGTCTATAGGTGCTTTATCTCATGAATGTGTCTTATAGGCTTTATATTTTTGTTGATAATTTCCTAGCTGAAACCGTAACTAATGCAATAGCACAGCCGTCTTCAATTGAAAGCCATGAAGAATGAATTTGGCAACATTGTCCGAACGACCGAACTTGCACCTGTCGGCCATTCAAAGTGTATTGTGTATGAAGTAAACAAGGAGTTTATGGAAGGTTTTGTTAGAGTTTTCAATTATTAATTGGTGTAATATTGAGATCAAATAATTTCAAAAGTATTAGCAACAATCTAGGAATCGACTCGAGACTGAAAGTGTGTGGCAAGTGCATTCAAAATTGTGTTGAATTGGAGGTTATAGTGAAGTGTGCTAGTGCTGGTGTATTCGCAAGGGAATTTGTGTTGTTTTTTTCAATTTACTCCTGGAAATAAGTGAATAATTCATTATTCCTTATAAAATATGCCTTCTCATTGTTGTGTGCCAGGATGTAAGTCAAATTACAGATCTGAAAAACAGCTGGGAAAGGATCATGTCTGTTTTTTTATTCCCAAAAGGGGAAGAATTGCGAAGTAAGTGGATAACAGCAATACTTCGAAAAAACTGGACACCATCTCAACGTTCTGCAGTATGTGCAATTCATTTGATTGAAAAAGATATCATCAGGTATGATACATTCCCTCTGCCAGATGGATCAATTGGAAAACATTTGTTACGAGCACCAAAGTTAGTCAAAACAGCAGTTCCTTAAATTTTTCAAAACCAGCCAAACCATAAAGAACTGATCCAAATGAAAGACGTCAGAAATATTTAGATATTCAAAGTAATATAATAGAACAGTTTGAAAAATCAGACCTCATCCACAACTATGAACAGTTAGTTAGGGAATATGTTGAGAAAGTTAAAATTGATACTTGGAAAATCAATAAGACTGATGATAAATTGTATTTTTATGAATTAGATTTGCAAGCAAATGTTTTTTATCCCAATGATGTAAATTCTTTACAAATCGTTTCTCAAGTTAAAATATTCAATGAGATGGAGGTCCAAGTTTTTCTTGGTGATAATAAACTTGAATTCAATGAATTGAAATGGATTCTTACTCATGATATGAAATTGAATAGATGGTCACAACTTGAAAATATTCTAGCTAGATTCAAAAACATCTCAGATCAAACTGACAAACACTCAGATATGAATGAAAAATTCGATATCTCCATAAGTTTTATTTTATCAAAATGTTCAAAATTACGGCTCCAGTTCATGACCAAGGAAATTATTCAACCACATTATTCCTCGTTCTTCACTCTGTAAGTTCACTCTCGTGTATTTTTACCTATTCGACAAAATAATCCGAGAAAATTACGTTAAACCAAACATTCAAAGCTCGCGCTCATATGAAAACCATTGTATTGCTAGGCGCGAATGGGACCGACGGTTTCCGTTCGTGCGACGTTGCCATTATCTCAGCACGGCTTGATAGTTGAAGACGGCTGTGGCAATAGTGAGAAACATACACTACTGTTTCTTCTTAATATTTTCTTTTGAAGTTTTTTATTTCTTTCTATTTCCTCATATAATTATTCGGTGTCACTTTTTTATTTGTATCTACTGTCAATAGTATTTTATGCAACGATTATGTATGAATTGTCATTACTCGATTGTTGCACACACTATTTTTTATAGGGTCAATTGATAATGAGAACAAAAATTCATTTCTCATTTATATTTCAACATATTCCAACATCATCAGTCCATTGGACCCCGCACTCTCCTTATGGAAAATGGCTTTCGGTTAAATTCTTCGAATTTTTGGTATGATGTAGGCTTTGACTCGCTAAGCAAAAGTGTCCATGTTCACAAAGAAATCTGGTGACTAGGTTTCGAGATACAGGGCATCAAAGATGAAGAGTGAAGCTTTTGCCTGAATGATGGTACAATGTCATCTGGATCTCGTATCCATTATTACTTTACGTTTTGGGCTCTACAACAGGGTGAACAAAGAAAAATCCAATTCGATTAATTTTAAACCAACCAGGGTAAGTTCTTCCATGAGAATTGAAGATCCAATTGAAGCCTGGACGAACTTCCTCAATCTCGATCGAAGTTTACTGAAATTTTTTTATATACAGGGTGGTTCGAAAATAGGGGTATGTCAATCCCTAGTTTTTTTAATCGGAAGGGGAGAGCATGTCATATATATATATCAGACATTCTCAATGTTGAGAACGTGGCATACTCATTCCATATACAGGGTGATCCACGGTGGATGGCCTATTAGAAGTATCTGGAGAACGAAAAGACAGAACATCCTGAAAATTGGGTTTCTTCGATAATTGAACATTCTCTATCCGTCTAAAATATTTTCATCGATACAGTGTTGCCACTTCTATCAGAAACAACTAGCAACTTTGTTATTTCAAATGGAACACCCTGAATTTTATTGCATTTTTAGATTCTTTCTGAAAAGCTGATTTCATCAATGTATCACACTTGAAGTCTAGCAGAAATGATTACAGAGATATAGGGTGTTCAAAATCGAGATTTTTCAATTTTAGGATTTTTTTGTGTCGAACTATTCATTATCGATCAGAACGGCTTACATGTTCCAATCTTGACTTTTGATAGACTATCTACTGGAATTTGATTCGAAAAAATACAGGGTGCTTCAAGATTCAGAATTCTGGTCACCCTGTATCTGTTCTAATTAAATGTCAATAGATAGTGAATCGAAAGTTAAGATAGGGACATGTAAGCCGTTTTGATCAATAATATGACACAAAAAATCCTGAAATTGAAAAATCTCGATTTTGAACACCGTATATCTCTGTAATCATTCCTGATAGACCCTAAGTGTGATACATTGATAAAATCAGCTTTTCAGGGAGAATCTAAAAATGCAATGAAATACAGGGTGCTCTATTTGAAATAACGAAGTTGCTGGTTGTTTCTGATAGAAGTGGCAACACTGTATCGATGACAATATTTTAGACGGGTAGAGAATGTTCAATTATTATCAAAGCATCCTAATTTTCAGAACGTTCTGTCTTTTTGTTCTCCAGATACTTCTAATAGGCCATCCACCGTGGATCAGCCTGTATATATAGGGTCGGTAAAACGATACAGTCCAAGTTTCTTGAGAAAATGCGGCTTTTTTCAATGAATACCCTGTATTTCGAAAAAGGATCGGTTAATTTTCTTGAATTTCATGAGCTCGATGTTGATAGCTTTCTCCATGATCTTTGAAATAATAGACAGCAGTGCGATCGGTCTGTAGTTGCTAGGTAGGGTCTTTTTGTCTTTTTTAGGAACTGGTTGTACTATTGCAATTTTCCAGTTGGACGGGAATATCCCCAATTTGTAAGAGTAGTTGAACAACTTGCAGAGAACAGGTGTTAGTTCGGGAGCACATTTCTTGAGGACAATCGGGGGGGGGGGGGGGGGATTCCGTCGGTGCCACAAGCTTTGTTGGTGTTGAGACCAAATAAAATCTTCCTTAAAGTACGTTGGCGAAAGGTGATCTCGGACATATGACTGTCAATTGGCGTTATGTTTGCAGGTTGTTTTCCCGATGAATCCAGAGTGGAATTTCCAGCAAATAAATGAGCAAAAATGTTGGCTTTCTCCTGGGCAGTTGTGGCTAGTGTTCCATCTTCCTTGGTTAAAAGAGGAAACGAGCTGGAGGAAGTGACAGCTTTGGCGAAATGAACGGGATCCGTTCGGATATTCAACAAGTTTTGATCTTATTTTGACATTATGAGCATCCTTTGATGATCGAATTGTCTCATTGCATATGCCTCTAGCCTCGACATATTCTGCTCTAGTCGCAGGGCTTGGATTTTCCTGACATCGATGGAATGCTGCCTGTTTGGAAGCGACATCTCTATAGCAGTTTCTACTGAACTAGGCTTTATCGGAAGATGTCCTCCTTGCAGTGTTCGGTATGTAGGTTTGCAGCCACAACATGTTGATTTCAGAAATTGTCTCAGCCATCAGCACATCGTGTTGGATCTGCTGAGGAGAAACAAACTCTCTTCCATGGAAAAGCTGAAAAGAACATACGAGGCAGACTCGTTGTTGACATCTGGAATGCGGGTTGGTAGTTCGACCATTTTGGGACAAATCATCTGATTTGGCCTTACTACACATGTGTTGAAATAATTCTCATATTTTTATTTCTACAAAAGAGAGAGAAAGAGAAAAAATCTTTGAAAATCTAGAGAATTAGGTATGTATCAAGTTTTGGTGCCAATGTGTGTATTAATCGATGAGAATTCGCAAATGAAATAAATTACAAAACTTGTTCACTATAAAATTTATTATCACCCTTTATACAGTCTATAATAGAAATGTTCATAATATTGATCTGTAGTTAATTAATTCATCAATTACATGTTATAATTCATTTTAGAACATAATTATCTGATTGGATTAGATTTTTTACCTTAAATAGCTTCATATTTAACCAATGAAATATATTAATCAAATCATAAATTTGAAATATTTTCTGAAGCGTTACACATTCTATTCATCTCAGGCATCGTTTTTA